CTTTTAATAGAGATGGGGTTTCACCATGTTGGCCAGGCTAGTCTTGAACTCCTGTCCTTAAGTGATAGAGGGTTACAGGTGTGAGCCACCATGCCCAGCCAACTGAATTACTTTTATTCTTCTAAACCAAACAGCTTCACAAACAAATATGTTTTCCTCCTATATTTTCTGTCAAGTTTATACATCCACATTACCAAGCAATGAGCGGGCAGCAGGAGCGCCCTGATATGCCAGCGGCTCGGAGCTCAGGAGCACTTCCAACAGAAACAGCATTAAGCACAGGGCTGGGTTTCGGGTTGGGTGCCATAGGGTACTTGGATTCCCTCTGGAGTCTACATAGTTGCCAAGGGTGTTAATTATAAAGAACTAACCTAAGATTGAATTATGTTTCAGAGGAAAATGAAGCTTGAAAAACTATTCTTGGCATTAGTCCCTGAAGCTGCAGATGAATTAGACCCCGAAGCAAACAAACAAACAAAACAATAGAACCTGGTCTCTGAGAGGGAAAAAAAAAAAAGAGAGAAAGAACTGGGAAAATGGGACAGAGAAAATGGGATAGGGGCTGGAGACAACCCATTTGGTCTCAAAGGACAAGCCGGCTACAGGAATAACTAGTGCCAGAAGATGGTGTATCAGGAACGGCATTCGTTTATAAGGATTTCAATTACTCAAGAAAGATGGTATCAGATAGAAAGGCAAAAATTAACCAGCTAAAAAAATGCTAAGCTGCCTTCATCTTCAGTACGCCCCAAAAAGGAGGAAAAAGGTTTTCAAACTTGATTTATATGATGTTAATACAAATCACAGTCCAGACCTCCTAAACTTGGCATGGATCATACATTAAACACACATTTCTCTGGTTCTACAGGACTCAAATGAACCTTCATGCCAAATGTCAGCTTGGTAAGTTTGATAAAATCTTATGAAAAATGGCAGGCTTTCAGACCCCTGGGCTCTCTTTGCTTTGAAGGAGCATTACAAAGAGCAGTTTCAAAGTAAAGACAAGTGGTGCCATAAAACATCACTCAGTGCTATGGGAGCAGGTCAGAATGGTAGGTCAGAAGGGAACACTGGAGTCCAAGTTCCAGCGTAATGCTTAGCTTAGCACAAGCAACTTCTGCTCACACTGTCCCCACGTGCGGTTCACCTAGGAGAGACCTCCTGGATTTTTTTTCACAGCTTTCTGTTACATCTTAGGTACAAAGCTGAAACGAAAAAGGTCTTATAAAATAAGCTACCATTTGTCAGGAAGGCAATTTCTCATTACCTGGCTGTCATCCAGCCCCTCAGACTCATGCTAATTAAAGTTCTCATTGCTTGGAACAAAAAAGCCCACCCTAAGAAACTGATTCAGAGAACCAGAAGTAAACAATTGGTCTCGTACCATTCTAAGATAATCGAAATGTCATAAACCCGGCAATGACAAATAATAGAGATAACTAAAAATGCTTCAGGTAATTTCAATACCTTAGAATTAATATTTTCAAGGTTAACTGAAGAAACTAGAAACCAATTTGTGTATAAAATACAACTTCAGGGCTCACACCCGTAATCCCAACACTTTGGGAGGCTGAGGCGGGTCGATCACTTGAGACTAGGAGTTTAAGACCAGCCTGGTCAATATGAGGAAACCCTGTCTCTACTAAAAATATAAATAAAACTGGGCATGGTGGAGCATGCCTGGAATTCCAGCTACTCGGGAGGCTGAAGCACAAGAATCACTTGAACCCAGGAGGCAGAGGTTGCAGGGAGCCGAGATTGTGCCACTGCACTGTAGCCTGGGTGACACAGTAAGACTGTCTCAAAAAAAAACAATAAAAATTAGTCAGGCGTGGTGGTGGATGCCTTTAATCCCAGACACTCCGGAGGCTGAAGCAAGAGAATTGCTTAAACCTGGGAGGCAGAAGCTGCAGTGACCTGAGATTTTGCCACTGCACTTCAGCCTGGGCAACAAAAACTCTGTCTCAAAAAAAAAAAAAAAAAAAAAAATTAAAACTTAAAAAGTACAACTTCACACACATACTGAAAGATAATATATCCAAGTATTAACAGTAGTTATATTATTATCAAGAGGGAATAGGTGGTTTTTATTTTCGTATATTTTGAAACCCACTTAGAATAGGAATATGCATACATTGTTGGCATAAACAAAAAAGCTGTTTTACTTTCTTTAAAAGATCATTTTATAAAATACAGAAAATGTCAAAGGGAAAATAATTTTTAATATTCTCCTCTTTTTCTGGACTCAGAATGACATCGTCATCCACACATTTGCCCAAGCAATAACTGGGGTGTCATCCTTGGTCCTTTGCTGTTCCTTATTCCCCACACTCGTCAATTTCAAGTCTATCTCACAGCCATAACAACATTTCCAATTCTATCCCTATGGCCATCATCCTCTTACAAGCCTCATACCTTCCCACTAGTTGATTCTATCTATGGGGAAGGGATCTAAGATCCAAGGCACCGGCAGGCACTTGCTGTCCATGTTGCTGTATTGATCAAAATACAATAAGCACTTCTAAGAGGAAGCTGAAAGAGACCTTTCTCATCATGAACAGGTTAGGGGCAAGCTAATTTATTCTGCCTCTCCTTATAATGTTCTCCAAAGGGTCAGAAACCAGGAGAAAACTATGTAGCACTGGTCCGAGGGAAGGCATTCTTGTGATCTGTATAACCCTCAATCAATGAACATCTCTGAGACATGCCATTGAGGAATTCAAGGATGAATCCTCTGAAAGTACTGCTTACCAGATTAGACTTTTCACAGATTATGCCAGAACCACAAAGAGCCACAACTACTACAAAGGGAGCCTGGCACAGGTAATGTAGGTGCCATCGTCTCTCCTGTGGGCTGCCACAGTCTGTGCTTATTGCGTCTTGTGGCGGCAAAAGTAATCTTTTCAGAACACAGATCTGATCTTATCACTCCCCTGCTTACAACTCTGCCAGGACTCCCTGCCCTACATCCCCACAGCTGGCTCACAAGACCCCTCCTAATCTGGCTGTCCACCTGTCCCCCAACTCGAATGCTGAGACATGGGAGGCACAGGCTCCCTCAGCTCTGCACCCACTGTTGCCTCTACTGTCAAGATCTTTCTCCCATCTGTCCGACCTGGAAAAGCCTACTGAAAAGGAAAATAAAAAATCCTTCTCCTGTTTGGCACCTCACTCTACCCCACCCCTTCACCCAGTCTACATAGCTATCCTCAGGTCCCTCCTTCAAAGTCTCTCCCTCTGGGAAGCTTTCTCTGAGTGCCCACCACACTTCTCATCAGCTCCCGGGCCCTCGGGGGTACAGGATCTCTCCCATGTGCTCCCGCAGTGCCCTGGTCGCTCTCCTCACACTGAATGTTTGCCTACCTTCTTGTCAGATTCCCAACAGTAACCCCTGAAGGCGAATGGCCATACCAGAGACACTAATACTGCCAGCATACAGCACAGTTCCTAACACACAGTTGACGTAGTCTGTAATATTTACTAACAAATGAACACAAGGAGAGACGGATAAGTTGATAGGAATATGAACAAAGCATCTGTGAGAGTCCAGGGGAAAAGGAAAACTTAGGAAAACCAAAATGCTTCCTGTTTGAAGAGCCTTCATTTCACTACAAACCGAATGGAATATCTCAAAGTGCTTCCAACTACACATTAGTATTCCGAAACTGCACCGTCAACAGCAAGCAGCATGCTTTTTTTTGAAAATACATAGCTGAGCAATTTTAAAAGAATCATGGTAGACAGGAAGAATTTTTATACCAGGAGGTTGATACTGGTTATGGAGAGTTCACCTCCCTCAAATTCTGATCTTCAGTACCCCTCACTCGACCCTCTTCTCAAATCTCAGATAAGGGAAATGTCTGCTGAGTATAAATTAACCTAATGCCAACTTTATACTATGTGCTTTTCTGTTTATGAGATCATATTTCCTTATGTTTCATTTCTACTATAAACTTTAAGGGAGGGTACGGAGCTTCTGGCTGTTTAAGAATTATTTAAGGAGGGGGGAAAAGATTTTTTTTTGCAAACTACATGCCATCCCTGATCAGGATGATCTATGATAATTTCTTTTTTTTTGAGACGGAGTTTTGCTCTTGTTACCCAGGCTGGAATGCAATGGCGCGATCTCAGCTCACCACAACCTCCGCCTCCTGGGTTCAGGCAATTCTCCTGCCTCAGCCTCCTGAGTAGCTGGGATTACAGGCACGCGCCACCATGCCCAGCTAATTTTTTGTATTTTTACAAAAATTAGAGACGGGGTTTCACCATGTTGACCAGGATGGTCTCGATCTCTTGACCTCGTGATCCACCCGCCTATGTAACTTACATTTAAAAGAAATAAACTATAGTGAGATGACTTGAAGAGTAAAAGACTTTTTAGAATTAGACCTTTAAATCACTAATAGCTGAGAGTATAAGATTCCGAAATACTTGGAAACAAAAAATAAATGTAAATCAGAAGAATAAATACTAATTTCTAATGTCTATTTTAACATAATGTTAAACAGTTCCCATAAAAGAATGTATGAGCACGAACTGACTGGCTCCAGAAAGCAATCTCAACCTAGAAGTGAGTCTACCGTGTCTTATGTACACAGCCACCTGTAGACCCAAGTTCTTCAATACATCCAATTGAAAAACTATCTGTGGTTGGGCACGGTGGCTCATGCCTGTAATCCCAGCACTTTGGGAGGCCCAGGTGGGAGGATCACTTGAAGTCAGGAGTTTGAGACCAGCCTGGCCAACAGAGTGAAACCCAATCTCTACTAAAAATATAAAAATTAGCCAGGTGTGGTGGCACGGAGCTGTAATCCAGCTATAAGAGGCTGAAGTTGAAGAATCACTTGAACCCAGGAGGTGGAGACTGCAGTAAGCCGAGGTTGCAGCAGTGCACTCCAGCCTGGGTGACAGTCAGACTCCGTCTCAAAAAATGAAATAAGTAATAAAAAGTATCTTTGCTCGTCCTATTTTTTTCTGAAACTCCTCTATGTATTACTTACCGGAATGTAATAGATGCCCATCTTGGGGGTTTCATTGGCCGTAAGAAGCATGCCTGAAAAGCAACACGATGAAAAAGGTCAATGCATGGGAAAAAGAAAGTGTCCTTTTCTATTTGTTTTCCATTCTGAAATGCCTGAGGAACTTCTGTTAGTCAGTGAACAAAGTCAAGTATTTCCCACAAAATGTCATACCAAATTCCTAACTTTTGCATTAAACTGACAGCAAAACCAAGTGACTATATTTCGTCATCATCTATACCAGAAAGGCCTAGAGGGACCCAAAAGCCCCGACCACAGCATAGTCATTCCCTCACCAAGGATTCTAACAGACTGAAGCAACAGGGTGGGCAATCACTGAGTCTCCCTGGGATCAGCACATAAGCAAGCAAACCTGAAGAAAGGGATAACTTTCTGGCATTCAGTAAAGGATTCTCTATAACCCCAGCAGCAACCTATAAATACATTATTGTTTGGTACTAAACTCCTTGGTATCAATGTATTCAAATGTCTCAGTTTGTTCCCTTTTCTGTGCCATTTTTGCAACATACTCCTTCCCCAAGTGTTTTGAAGCAGCTCCAACACAGCAATAAGCAAATGCCAAAACTCCCTAGAACCCCTGCTCCCGATAGCTGCACTTTAAATAAAACTGAAAGCAGAAAGTCTTTGGCCAGTCCTTCATCATATTCCAGGCACTTTCACACAGATTTCCTTAGCGAGCATGCAACAACCCTCCAAATTAGGAAATATCATCAGCCCTATCTTATTGATCAGAAAAATAAAGCTGAAAGTGACTGACGTCCCAGTCATGAGTGAGGGAATGTTAAAACTAAAGTCAAACTCAAGAGTCCTGTTTTTAAATACAGGCTTCTATAGATCGGCCAAATCACAATTCATTTAAAAAATCTATTTGTAAGATATAAGAGGAATCCACAGAGGGAAGACATTTAGATGATCAGATCACATAATGATAAATTAATATACCAAATGTAAGGGTAATGATTAGATTCTATTTTTAAAAATATTTTTTGCTGCCTTTCCTTTTGTTAAACACAAACGTTTGTAAATGTGATGATATTTGACTCTGTTACAGAAATGAAATGTTGAGTGAATAGAGTGAATTGCCACTCAAGGAACTCAATGTTATCTTATCAAAACTACATCTTGCCCATAACAGGGCTAGTGTGAGCTAGCCTTGAACTGGGACCAATAGGTCACCAAAAATACACACACACACCCGTAAAAACATCGAAAAAGCACCTAATGAAGTCTAAGAACGCAAGAATAATGTCTAAATTAAACCAAAACAAAATCCGTGCTGTTTTTCATAGCTTGTAACCCCTGTAGACTCTTCCATCTCAGCACTTTTTCTGGCCGTGCAAACAATGTTCTCCGAGGTCATGATGGACAGAAACAGCCTCTACTGATTGTACTTTCCAGGTCTCCACTGCAGCACTGCCAAAAGAGCTCCAGGAGCTCTTGAACATAATTAAAGAAGTTCTGGAGATAGAAGCCACATCTTTACAGCCAAAAGGAAGGTTCCTACTAAAGACCTCTCCTAAGCCTTCTCTACTGGCTCAACCCTGAACATTCAACAGTGAACATCCCACAAGGAAATACACCACCACCTACCAAACCACAGAAAGGGCTCTAATTCAATTACACAAAAAAACTCAGACTGGTCACAGCTAGATTGTTTTCTAAAATGGAGGAGGATCTCACATAGCCACATATGGCTAATGACACAGGCAGGTCTACTACCACACTAATGTGAGGAGCTCGTCAGGGCTGAAAGCAATTATGAATGAGAAAAAGAACTTCAAAGTCCAAAGAGTATCAGCAGCTTCTAACAAGCAGAAACAGAAAAATAAACCAGTGTAAAAAAGACTTTGTTCAGCAGAAATTAAGATGATCAAGGCAGGAGAAGAGAAGAGCATGAGCAGCAGGCCAGGCATGTCACATCCTCTGCAAGTTACCTCCCTTGCTCAGGGCCACCACATAGCTAGTAAGTAGAGCTGCTGACAGACTTCCAACTCCAAACCCCGTAACACAGGGGCTGACACTTGATCAACTAAGAGAGAATGTAAACGCCTCTTACATGATGAAATAAGAAACCATTAAAAAAAAGTCAGTATAAACTCCACATGGCAACGCGAAAGGTGTTTAATATAATGTCAAACTGAAAGCAAAAGATAATCATAAGTACCGTGTGAGGACAACTGAAAACATATGAACACAGGATGAATATGATTCACCACTGAAGACAGTGATAGTACTTGTGAAGAGATTGTGGCATTGAGGACTTTTTTCCTTTAAATTTATTTTAATGTTGATTATTGTTTCCAAATAAAACTACACATTTTTAAAGGAAGAAAAAGATATCAGCACCTAGAGTCAAAAGAACATATTTCCAACATGAACCAGTACTTATAGTGTATAGCATACTGTATACTGTAATAATATAATCAAAGGGAATCTGACAAAATAGTGCCCCAGAAACATGCACGAGTCAGTACTCATCTGATGTGCTCTGGGGACCACAGGGCTCACCGAAGCTCACAACACAGAATCAGAAATAGTGCTAGACAACCGCTCCAAGTGTGTCCCCAGGTCCAGACTGCGCACTGTTACCAGCCAGGAAATACATGCAGAAACTGGAAAGCAGCATTTAGAAACCTGCAATTAACACTGCAGTGACACGCAAATGTGTGATCGTTTTCCTAGTCATTCATTTGTATTGTATTTTACAGACATATCAATGTGCAGTAGATGAGAAACTTCAAAACAAAAAAACCAAAATCCTGGTTCTTCACCAAACATGTTGGGAAGCGCTGCATGAAAACATATGGTATCAGTCACTGCCTTGAAGAGCTCAGAGGAGACAGGCTGTGCACACAGAACTGTGCCAAAGGGGATTGGCAGGGACGCTCCTGCCCTATATAGAACCTCAGATAAAAGTATGGCCATTTGAGTTTACTATACGAGGCACCAAAGATATTTACAGATGACCCCAACAGTTTCCCATGTATTTAGAAGGCATGCACAGGGAATAAAAGGCTCTTTCACCTTGACCAACAGAGGCAGTTTCCAATAGCCCTATAAGGCAGGTGTAAATGCTGATGTTGGATAATTTCCACCACTATTAAAGCCTGAATTGGATCTTTCTTGAGCCCAGTGCCCACCTTCTTTTCCCTCTACCAGTGGTTCTGAAACCACTAATCCTGATTCCACAGGTCTGGAGTGGGACTCAGACACACGTAAGATTTACAAGTTCCCCGTGTCATGAATCTGATGCACACCCAAGTCACAGAGCTGTGCTGTCTCTCCAAGTGCCTTGACCTGCATGGAGCAGCTGCTCACTGCACAGGTGCTGCATAGGTGGCCGGATGAGCAACAACGAGGCAGGAAGGCAGAACTATTTCCCAACATACTGAGCAGTCTTGGTATAAAAAAATATTACAAAACCATATCATGATTATGCTTCAATTACTCCAAAATGAGTAAGTGAAAAGAAAAAAGACAGTTTAAGCTTTTCTAAAATATGATTAAGCCCACAATGATTAAGCACAAGACACAAAGGGCAGAGCTGGAGGAAAAGGTGTGGGAAAGCAAGGAAAAGCACAGCACATGAATCTGCCATACTCAGATCCGAGCCATACAGAAGGGGCACGTACTGGTCCTGCTCTGCTTGCTCTCTTACAAAATAAATGATTTGGCTACCTTTCCTACTCTTGATTAACCTCTTGGGAGTTATTAGATAGTAACAGTCATTCCTTTGTCCAAAACATCATGCTTAAAATCGTCAGTTTGTAAGAAACCATACTTTGTAATGAAGACATCACTGAACAATGGGATCAACCTTACCTCTCTGGGATACTGCGATGATCTGCTGTGATACAATCTGATATGGAGACCTAGCAGCCTGCACATCACTCTTGCCCTAAATTTAATCTAAGCTTAATTAAGTTTTTAGACTTAACTTCTATTTTAGAAAAAACACAGGGTAGAGAATCAATCTAAACAACATCATAAGCAAAGAAAGAATCACATAAATAAAGATGAGGGATATTCTATGCGATCACTGGCCTGATCTTTGAAAAGTCAGTATCATGGAGAAGACAAGAAAAAGATGTAGGAGACTATTCTGGATTGAAAGAAACTAGAAATACAAAAGATATATAAAGATATACAAAGCTAAATGTCACATACAACTTCAATTATATTCTAGTTCAAAAACAAACAAACCTAACTAAAAAAGGTGTTTCAGGAACAATTAGGAAAACCTGAAAATGGACTGGATGTAAGATAATATTAGAAAAGGACTGCCATTTTTATTAGGCACGATAAGGGACCTAATAAATTTCTGTGAATTTCAGGAGATCAATACCACACTCAGCGCAGGTGAGTGCCACCATGTCTGCAGCTGGCTTTCGAGTGATTCCACAAAGAAACCAGAACCACCACAGAAGCACAGAGATAAATAAAGCAATTATGGTGAAGATCAACAATAACAAACATTGAGGAGAGGCTATAAAGATGTTTACCACTTTTTCAACTTTTCTGTATGTTTGAAAAAAAAAATTTTTTTTTTTTTTTTGCGATGGAGTCTTGCTCTGTCCCCCAGGCTGCAGTATAGTGGCATGATCTTGGCTCATTGCAACCTCTGCCTGCTGGGTTCAAGCAATTCTCCTGCCTAAGCCTCCTGAGTAGCTGAGATTACAGGCGTGTGCCACTACGCTTGGCTAATTTTGTATTTTTAGTAGAGATGGGGTTTCACCATGTTGGCCAGACTGGTCTCGAACTCCTGACCTAAAGTGATCTGCACACCTTGACCTCCCAAAGTGCTAGGATAACAGGCATGATCCACCGCGCCTGGCCTGAAATTTTTCATAATTAAATACTGCGGATAAAGTGACCTTTTTTGTTTCTATTAGTAATATGGACTAGGAGTCAGCAAATTGTCTCTGTAAAGGGCCAGGCAGTAAATACTTTAGGCTTTGCAGGCCACCTGGTCACTGTTAAAACTACCCACCTCTGCACAGTGCTGCAAAAGCCGCATGGACAATGTCTAAACGAATAAGGGTGGCTGTGTTCACATCAAACTTTATGATGAAAGACACTGAAATCTGGATTTCAGTCACAAAAATTTGAATTTCCAAGCCATAAAATATTATTATTCTGATTTTTTTTTTCCCCAATGATTTAAAAATGTAAAACCCATTCTGAACTCAAAGGCTGCAAATTACCAGGTGGAGGACTGGATTTGGCCTATAGGTCAGTTTACCAAATAGATTTTTAAAAATACTACACATTAAGAATGTTTTCGGACCAAACTGTCAAACATTTTTCATAAATATTACTTTAATAAGTAATTACTGAAATCACTGTGCTATAAATGCTTCTATTACTAAAATGTTATAAACATAATTGTTTTTTTAAGTCTTGCTCTGTCACCCAGGCTGGATCCAGTTAGTTAGAGATCACAGCTCACTGTAAACTCACAAACTCCTGGGCTCAAGTGACCCTCCTGCTTCAGCTCTCCAAGTAGCCAGGACTAGAGGCATGTGCCACTGGCTCCTGCTAATTTTTTTTTTTTTTTTGAGACAGTTTCACTCTTGTCGCCCAGGCTGGAGTGCAATGGCACGTTCTTAGCTCACCGAAACCTCTGACTCTAGGGTTCAAGTGATTCTCCTGCCTCAGCCTCCCTAGTAGCTGTGGCTACAGGCCATAAAATATTATTATTCTGATTTTTTTTTTCCCCAATGATTTAAAAATGTAAAACCCATTCTGAACTCAGTGCCACTGCCTCCTGCTAATTTTTTGTTTTTAATTTTTAGTAGAGATAAGGTCTTGCTAAGTTGACAAGGCTGGTCCTGAACTCCTGGCCTCCAGTGATCCTTCTGCCTCAGTTTCTCAAAGTTCTGGGATTATACACGTGAGCCACTGCACTAGGCCATAATAATCTTCATTAACTAAGTGTTCTAGGTGTTCTTCCCAGAGAGAAACACTTTTACATTTCATTAAAAAGCATGCTTATTTGACCATTTTTGTGTCATTTTAAATGACAATGCAATCATTAAAAATTTTACTACGAGACCCAGAGAAGATCCCTGTGTGATGGTGTGCACCTATAGTCTGAGCTATACAGGAGGCCTAGGCAGGATCACGTGAGCCCAGGGGTTCAAGGCTGCAGTGAGCTACCATTGTGCCACTACACTCCAGCTTAGGCGACAAAGTGAAACCCTGTCTCTAAAAAAATAAAAGCAGTATTCCAGAGACGTGTGGTTGAATTATCAACACCCTCTCAATCCATCTGAAGCCTCTTCCTTAGCAGTCATCTGGGTAACAACATTCCCTGCTAACATCAGCTTCCTTCCTCTCCTTGTCCTTGTGATTCCAACAACTGTCATCAGTCATGGAATTTCAAGAATGGGTTCCTCAATAGTTTGAGATGAGCCTGAGTATTTCTCAGAAAGAGGCTTCTTTGCCAAGTAATCACACCCTTTGTGGGTTAATAAATCTTTACACCCATTAAAGGTGGGGGAAAGATCACAAAAATTGACCTTAGAAATCAAGTTGACCATAGAAGGGTCCAACCTCCAGCTCTGCCTCGTGGAGAAGCTGGTTAGGCACAGCAGCCTGGGGAGGCCAACACATTGGCACTTATTTCAGCAGGTGTCTCTTTGGGCTTCTACATTCTTGTTTACAATAGAAAAACTGAGGCAGCCTACCAGCCTCAATAATTCCTGCTCCACTGAGCCAGGCACAAGCACTATTAATGCCTTGTACCTTGTCCACATCCTAAAGAGTTGAAGCTCTCCCAGTTTAGACCAGCACTGTCCAATGGAAAGAGCTGTGAGCCACATGTGATTTAAACATTTTTAGTAGCCATATTAAAAAAAAGGTAAAATTAATTTTAATGTCTAAAATATTTTCAACATGTAATTAATATAAAATTATTAATGATCTATTTTACACACTTTTTTTCATAGATTGTCTTTTAAATCCAATGTACATTTTATACCCACAGTGAATGTCAATGCCAGTGAGTGGCTACTGGCTACCAAACTGTACAGCCCAAGGTGTACACACACTCTCCCCACTCTCTGTGCCCTTCAAACTGTCACTCCCTGCATCACGCTACCCCTGCTCGTCACCCTTGGCCCAACCTCAGCTCAACCTGGTTTACTCACTCACCCACTTAGCCCAGACCCCAGTGTAGGTCATTTCAATACCCTAACTAGGACCCAGCATCCTCAACTGCAATCTATTCTTGAACTCACCAGAATTTCACTTTACTCCCATAATTATAATAAAGTTCTCTCAACTATCACAGATGAAATGCAAGTTATAAGGTATAGGGTTTCTCATCTTTCCTGGGAGAGCACTGTGTAAGTAGAAACAGCATGGGGTCCAGAATCAGGAAGGCTGGGCTTTAACTGAGGCTCTGCCACACGCCAGCTGGGTGACCAAGTCTGAACAAATTACCCAATTTTTCTGACCTCCTTAAGAGGTAAGGAAAAAAGAGACAGAAAGAAAGAAGAAAGAAAAAAAAAGCCATGGACCACTGACTACACAGTTATGAAAGGTTAAATGGTAAGTCTGTATCACAGCATCCATCATCCAGATTGGTAACAGCAGCATTCAACCAATCTCAGCTCTTTCCTTCCTGTCCCAACTTCTGTAATCCTCACTGGCTGCTGAGCAATGCCCACTGAATCTCTCCCATACTTCAAAAACTGTGGGGCCTGGCACTGTCATGCTGTCCATTCCTGCCCAGTTTCTTAGCTGGCTCCTCCCCTTCATTCTCCCAAATGAACCAGCTCCTACTCATGTCTTATCTCACTCCTAGCTTTCCCCATCAGTAATCTCATTCATCCCTACCACTTCTGGGATAATCGCAAAACTTTCTACCTACAGACCTGCTATTCCTGGGACCACATTTTCTATGGGACACCAGACATGCCTCCCAAATGCAAGTCTGCAGATCAGTTCAGGGCTTGGTGCCTAAGAATCCAGTGGGAAGTACATGAAAAATACTCATTTCTGAGGCTGGGCATAGCAGCTCATGCCTGTAATACCAGCACTTTGGGAGGCCAAGCGGGCAGATCACCTGAGGTCAGGAGATCAAGACCAGCCTGGCTAACATGGTGAAACCCCATCTCTAGTAAAAATACAAAAATGTGCTGGGTGTGGTGGCAGATGCCTATAATCCCACTTAACTCAGGAGGCTGAAGCAGGAGAATTGCTTGAACCCAGGAGGTGGAGGTTGCAGTGAGCCAAGATCGTGCTGCTGCACTCCAGCCTGGGCAACAAAAGCAAAACTCTGTCTCAGTAAATAGATAAATTTAAACACACGTTTCTGGCTGGGCATAGTGGCACACACCTGTAATCCCAGCATTTTGGGAAATGGAGGCAGGCGGATTACTTGAGGTTAGGAATTCAAGACCAGCCTGGCCAACATGGTAAAATCACATTTCTACTAAAAATACAGAAATTAGCCAGGTGTGGTGGTGGTGGGTACCGGTATCCCATCTACTTGGGAGGCTGAAATATTAGAATCGCTTGAACCCAGGAGGCAGAGGTTGCAATGAGTGGAGATCATGCCACTACCCTCCAACCTGGCTGACGGAGCAAGTCTCTGTCTCAAAACAAACAAACAAACAAACAAAAACATGTTTCTGAGCCCTCTCCATGGAACTATGAGTCAGTACACCTGGGACAAGGCCAAGGAAGTTGTACCTTCAAAAGTGTGCAGCAGGTTTTGATGGACAGCAGGTTTGAGACCCTCTACCAGATACTGCCACTGACCCATCACCTCCTAATCCTCACACATTAGAAAAAGGAGCCATCATCTTTCCAGACTTGCTCTCCTGCCTGTGCTCCCCATCTGAGCTCAGACTATCAGTCACTTCCAATCACTTTTGTTCAAAACCAGTCTGCTGCACGGTGGGTAGACCTGCCTCTGAAAGCACAGTTGGAACAAGCCCTCTCTGGCTGCCATGTGGAGCTCAAGCTATTCAGCACATCAAGCCCAGCCCTCCACCACCCGCCACCCTCTGCCTCCCACTTCAGCCTTCCCAGAACCACCACAGCTCAGGCACAGGACACTCCTCCCCAACCCAGCCGAGCCCTTCATGCTCATCCCTTTTGCTCGTCTTACACTGCTCTCCCATGGGAATCACCTCAGCCCCGCCAACTTCACCTAAACAAATGTTACTCGGCACTCCAGCTCAACTAAAGCAAAATCTTCTCGATGCTCTGCTCTCGGGAGATCGGGGAGAAAGTGATCTCTCCCCAGCATGGTGTCAAAGTGCTCTTTGCACACATGTCACAGGATTTCTCATGCTCTGCCTCACTTCCTTCTATCAGGATGATTTGGGTATACCTGTCCTCAGAGAAGGAACTATTTTCATTTTTCTCCCATACTCCAAAATTCTTCACAGATTTGCCTTGGATGCATTGAATTTTGAAATCTAATGTGTAAACTGCTGAAGAGCATACAACTTAGAATTTACAAAATCCAAGGCTTCATGAGCCATCTGTGTATTATCAGGCAATCTAGCTTTCTCAAATCTCTGCCCTCAATTTCCACCCACTATTACTAATCACATAAAAGAGCTAAAGAGCACACTAAAATAGCATTTCACCTGCCTCCTACCTTGTGCTGTTACCAGTTTCCACTGATAGCTGGGCGGGCTGAGCACTGAGTCACTCAACATGCCATTTTCTGAATCATCCACACCACTTCCTGCTCTTAACTCCTCTAAGTAAGTTAAATAGCCAAGAAGTGTGCTGACAAAGCCAAATTCTATCTTAAGAAATAAAATGGGTTTAAAGCCTACAGAAGTCCAGCGTTTCTTTGCCTCTCTGAATGTCCATTACAGAATGCATACCTGAGTTGGGGTAGAGACAAACATCATTAAGGTCATGCTCTGGCTCCAAGGAAGTAAATATTTTTCCCTAAAAATAGCAAGCAAAAATGAACTGTTAAAATTTAAAGAACAACTTTTGGCAATGTCAAATAAACTGGAGACGTAACTCAACCATCTACACCTATGTAAAGAAACAGCCTAATTCAAATACAAAATTTAAATTTTAAAAAATCTTAGAGAATTTATCTTATCAATTTATCAAAAATTCCCATTTTAGAGATGAAGAAACTGAGGCCTAGGGAGAAGTCACCTGCCCACCCCCAAAATTACAATATTTAAAGATAATGTCAACATGGCAGGAACAGATGAAGTTTAATTATGTATCAACTTAGAAAAAACCTCTCATAATCTGTGAAGTATACCCAGCTTAACTTGTATTGAAAGAAAAAGAGGACGGTCGGGCACAGTGGCTTGCACCTGTAATATCAGCACTTTGGGAGGCAGAGGTGTGTGGATTACCTGAGGTCAGGAGTTCAAGACCAGCCTGAACAACATGGTGAAATTCCATCTCTACTAAAAATACAAAAATTAGCCAGGCATAGTGGCATGCACTTGTAATCCCAGCTACCTGGGAGGCCGAGGCAAAAGAATCACTTGAACCCAGGAGCGGAGGTTGTAGTTAGCAAGACAGTGCCATTGCACTCCAGCCTGGGCAAGAGTGAGACTCCGCCTCAAAAAAAAAAAAAAAAAGAAATCAGAGGAGAGAGATGACCAACATGGAGAATGAGGACGACAATGCAAGGTTTCCAGGGGGATCAAGGATCAAGCAAGACAATGGATATAAAATACAAAATGAAATCTTACAAATACATGTTTTAGTTACCACATAGTTAGGGCTACACCATTGCCATTTTAAGTGTCGAGGGAAGAGGGTTCCATTTTTTAAAAATTAAGAGAAGGAAAGTAAAAGAAGAAGATGCTAAGGAGGTGGGTGTGGGAAAAGGTGATGAGAAAGATAAACAAGGTAAGCGAGTCAAGCAAAACCGAGTAACACGGGTGTTAGTCAAGAGGAAGTCTTTAGTCATAAGAAACAAAAAAATTGCCAAAATAAAATTTATTGTAGCAATTACAGTACAATGATTTCAAGAAGTGATGTTGAAAACTTCTGCCAGCTCTTGCATTTGTAACTCATTATGAGAAGTCTGACACTAGGATGGACTGAGTGCCCACGGCAAAAAAGAGCAGTGTAAGAGCACAAACAAGATGGTGTGTGCCCAATGAAGAGCAGGGCCAAGTCCTAACTCACGACTAACAGTGAAATTCACACAGCTACCTCCCGTGCATCTCAAGTTTCCACTGAAAAAGGAAGGAAAAGGGGAAAAAGGAAGGAAGGGGAAAGGAAATTATATTAGCATGGAATAACAATGACAAAAAGGTGTCAAAAGTTCTAATAATCCACATGATGTAAACTATGCAGAAGTGAAAGAGACTAAAAGATACGTCCAAATTGGTAGCAGTCTTTAGCTTAGGTTGCATGAAAGCCAGGTCAAGGATAAGTAACATCTACTTTACCAATATTTTATGAATTTTTAAGAATAAAACCATATGCATTTATAGTATTAAAGATAAATATGGTTTTAATGTCAATTAGTTTGAATTGCCCAAAAAAGAGCGGAGAAAGTTCTGGTCTAAGATCACGAATGTTCCTTAAAAAAGCCCTCAAAATCCTCCAAACTCAAAGCCAACAAAGCAGATAGTACAGGCACTTCCTGGGCAATCATCTGGGTAATTCTTCCAAGAATTCAGAAAGACCAAAAGCCCAAAAAACCATCAGAACCTATGAATTAGGTTAGGGCCTCAGAGATGCAGAATACACCCTGAGGACCACTCTGATCAGATCCAGAGGAAAAAGGAAAGCCAACTAAGACTCATACTTTGGGAACTGACAAAATGAAATTTAAAAAAACAAAAGTAACAGCCCAGAAAGCCAGGGACTTAACAGACAGCTGAAGTATGAGGGGCTATGTGCAGCACGTGCGCCTGAGCACCTGCAGCCCCCACGAAAAAGACCGCCACCTGCACTTAGGCTCTTACTGCAGAGGCTGGCGGATTGTCCGCCCAACTTCATCACAAATAGGAATTTTTAAAAAGTGATCTGTTTTTATTTTTGTTTGTTTGTTTGTTTGTCTGTTTGTTTTTGAGACGGAGTTTCGCTCTTGTTACCCAGGCTGGAGTGCAATGGCGCGATCTCGGCTCACCGCAACCTCCGCCTCCTGGATTCAGGCAGTTCTCCTGCCTCAGCCTCCTGAGCAGCTGGGATTACAGGCATGTGCCACCATGCCCAGCTAATTTTTTGTATTTTTAGTAGAGATGGGGTTTCACCATGTTGACCAGGATGGTCTCGATCTCTTGACCTCGTGATCCACCCGCCTCAGCCTCTCAAAGTGCTGGGATTACAGGCTTGAGCCACCACGCCTGGCCTAAAGTGATCTGTTTTTAAACTAAAAATGCTAAGTTTCTAATTAATTAAATGCAAAAGAACTCTTAAAAGCAAAGCTATACCGAATGCATTTTTCCCATTTGATGAACTTTTTACTATTCTCTCAAAATACTTACGTTTTAAAATGAAAGATGAAAAGAAGACAGATTAAAACCAGCATTATAAGATTTTGTTACATTTCAAATGACATTTAGAGCTGAGGAGAAGGAACATCAAAATATTCTTAAGAAATATAGCTCTTCTGGCCAGGTGCAGTGGCTCATGCCTGTAATCCCAGCACTTTAGAAGGTCGAGGCAGTGGATCACTTGAGGTCAGGAGTTCAAGACCAGCCTGGCCAACAGGATGAAATGCTGTCTCTACTAAAAATACAAAAATTAGCCAGGCATGGTGGCGCACACCTGTAATCCCTGTTATTCTGAGGCTAAGGCACGAGAATTGCTTGAAACTGGGAGGCGGACGTTATAGTGAGCCGAGATCATGTCACTGCACTCCAGCCTAAGCGACACAGCAAGACTTTGTCTCAAAAAAGAAAAAGAAAAAAAAAAAAAAAGGGAAAGTATGAATTTGAGATATATAATAATACCAACATGCATGGAAGGATAATTAGTAGCTCTTAAAAATTTTCTTGGCCGGGCGCGGTGGCTCATGTCTATAATCCCAGCACTTTGGGAGGCGGAAGCGGGTGGATCGTGAGGTCAAGAGATCGAGACCATCCTGGTTAACAAGGTGAAACCCCGTCTCTACTAAAAATACAAAAATTAGCTGGGCATGGTGGTGCACGCCTGTAGTCCCAGTTACTTGGGAGGCTGAGGCAGGAGAATCACCTGAACCCAGAAGGCGGAGGTTGCAGTGAGCCAAGATCATGCCATTGCACTCCAGTCTGGGTAACAACAGCGAAACGCCGTCTCAAAAAAAAAAAAATTTTCTTACATCTGGCCAGGTGCAGTGGCTCATGCCTATAATCCCAGCACTTTGGGAGGCTGAGGCAGGTGGATCACAAGGTTAGGAGTTTGAAACCAGCCTGGCCAACATGGTAAAACCCCGCTTCTACTAAAAATACAAAGAAAATTAGCTGGGCATAGTGGTGGGTACCTGTAATCCCAGCTACTGGGGAGGTTGAGGCAGGACAATCACTTGAACCCAGAAAAAGAGGTTGCAGTGAGCCAAGATCATGCCACTACACTCCAGCCCAGGGGACAGAGTGAGACTCTGTCTCAAAAAAGAAAAAAGATTTCTACATCTGTGAGAGACTCTCAATATGTAGGGGGTTTCTCAGGTCATAGATCAACTTTTTTAAACAATGATTTTCTCTTAACATCCAAAATGCATGCCAGTTCTAAATAATCAGTAAAATTTCTTAACCGGAAGAAAGCGATCATGAGTACCTTATCATCTGAAAGTAACTGACCTCCCATTAAGTTCCCAAATGTATATTCAGTATCTTTTTCTCAATAACCCACATAACTCAAATAGGCAATGGAGAGGAAAGGATCATTCTAAACACCCGAAAATAGAGAAGCAACTAATTTCAACCAAAAATACATACGGAGTTCTTATTCCACATCTTGATAATTCGAGAGTCAGCAGACAAAATCAGATCCAATGAATCCTGGAAATGAACGGACTTAATGGGCAGCCCATACTGGTGATCTTTGACTAGCAATGGCTTATCAGATCGAAGATCATATAATAAAACCTGAAAGAAAAAAAACCAAGTTATTTCTGTTTCAACAAACTAGACATTTTATCTTCGAAGGAAATATCTGTGGGAATAATGGCAGCCGTCTGCTTCATTACTTTGTTATGAACACAACGAACACACTTACTCAAGGCACTGAGACCTGAGATTCTAAAGGGAGCCACCAGTACTCCAGAAAGATCTTTTAAGTAACCCTTACCCATACACATTTTATGAATTCAACCTCAAGAGTAATTTTTAAGAGCTACTAAACATACTAAGAAAGGAACAAAAAAATGAAACCCTGTAAGAATTTGTTTCATTTGTTCAACAAATACATACCGAGGGCCTAAGTACCAGGCCGTATCAGCAACAGACATAAACAAAACTTAGGAACGGTTCTAGTAGATTCACGACAGATGGTGGTAGCAAGGCTATGACTTCTTGGGAGAAGGAAGCCTGGGGAAGCTCCCCTAGGATTAAGTCCCAGGTGACAGATCCCCTCTAGCCCACGATGACAGAGCAAGAAAATCTTCCACGATAGGGTTTCAGACCTCTTGTCCCGGGAGGCGAGTGTACGGGCTCCGCCTTGAAGGAAAGAAAGAAGTACTCCTCGGACTGGCACTGCTAATGCACGTTCTGCTGACCACTCATGGCATGAGCTGTAGTTAATTATGCTATGTTTTTAAAAAATAGTTCCTTGAACATACAACTTTTGGAAATATGTATTAAACATATTTGTTGTCTGCAAGAATTCCTCAGAGCCTTCATTTAAAAAGTATTGAAATCCACTGTGAATCTTCAAGAGTCGAAGTCTGGCAAACTCCTAAGACTGACCACAGAATTCTGTTTCACAGACTCTGAAAAATGCTGTTCCAAACCATTAATAAGAGAATACTTATGGCCAGGCCCGGTGGCTCATGTCTGCAATCCCCACACTTTGTGAGGCCAAGGTGGAGGAATCGCCCAAGCCTAGGAGTTCAAGACCAGCCTGGGCAACATAGTGAGACCCTGTCTCCACAAAAAATAAAAAAATAAGCCAGGTGAGGTGGTGCAGGCCTAGCCTACTGTACCTCCAAGCCCACAGTACCACAGACTGACCAAGACAAGAGTCAAGATTTCTCAAGGTGCTAGAAGAATCTAGCACTCTGGCATACCCTCTGCTCTGGCTAAAACAGTACGGCCTCATTTTTTGTTCCTACAGTATATTTCTCATGACACATATACACACCACCGAAATAACCAACATACATGTGAAATTTCAAAATTAAACATATTTACCTGCCCTGTGGATGTTCCAACTGCCATGGTCAAGGCACCATTAAATTTCAAAGCAGAGATTGTTGGTAAGCTGTTTATCCTGAAAAGCAAAATATTCATGCTTTGTGAATATATGGCCAAACCTCCTTCCAAGTAACAAATTCATTATTCATTTTCACTTCAAATCTAATGGGGGGAAAATCACATTTCTAGCCTTCTGTTTAAAAGGTAACTGCAGCCTGGTAAGATGATTCACACCTGTAATCCCAGCACTTTGGGAGGCTGAGGTGGGAGGATTTCTTGAGGCCAGGAGTTCAAGACCAGCCTGGGCAGCACAGTGAGACACCATCTCTACAAAAAATAAAAAAAATTTAAAAAGGCCAGTGTGGTGGCACACACCTGTTGTCCCAGCTACTTGGGTGGCTGAAGCAAGAGACTGCTTGAGCATGGGAGGTCAAGGCTGCAGTGAGCTGTGATCACTCCACTGTGCTCCAACCTGGACAACAGAACAAGACCCTGTCTCTAAAATAATAAGTAAATGGTAATTATATTCAAATTTTCATTATCAAAATAAAATTACACCTTTTTTTTTTTTTTTTTTTTTGCGACGGAGTTTCGCTCGTTACCCAGGCTGGAGTGCAATGGCGCGATCTCGGCTCACCACAACCTCCGCCTCCTGGGTTCAGGCAATTCTCCTGCCTCAGCCTCCCGAGTAGCTGGGACTACAGGTGCACGCCACCATGCCCAGCTAATTTTTGTATTTTTTAGTAGAGACGGGGTTTCACCATGTTGACCAGGATGGTTTCGATCTCTTGACCTTGTGATCCACCCGCCTCGGCCTCCCAAAGTGCTGGGATTATAGGCATGAGCCACCGCGCCCAGCCTAAAATTACACTTTATATACAAAATGTAATCGACTTCTTTCTTCCATTTTAATTAAGCCAGAATAAGTATTTACTGAAACATCCCTTTTTATACTTAAGAAGAAGTGATTTTGTTTGGACATGGGTATACCACTTTCACTTTAAAATTAGCCAAGCTCAGCTAAAATAAAAGACTAATCCTCAAACGGGGACCCTAGAGCCTCTGAAAGTACCAAAGACAAAGTGAATGCTATGGTCACAATTCTAGAACATGCTTCTCACACACCAGCCAAGCCTATCAGACCAAAAGCAATGATCTACAGTGAAAAGAGTGCTAGGCGAGGAGTCAGAAGTGGACAATACTGCTATCAATCCTACCGTCCACATGCCCTTGGCCCAAAACCTACTACAGTCCAGGCTGCTGGCTGTCGGCATCATCAGGTCTCTTCTGCCACCTAGAGCATGAGCCTGTAACTGTGCTGAGGCATCTGTAGGAAACTCAAAGCCTCATATCCACAGCAACTTTAGTCATTCGCTCTTCAAAATACACATAATCATTTCTTTCAGTACAGTGATATATGTCTACTATTCCTTTGTCATTTTCTTCACAAATTTGTTTTTGGATACGGGGTTTCACTCCCGTCACCCAGGCTGGAGTGCAGGGGGCAATTATCTCAGCTCACTGCAACCTCCATCTCCTGGGTTCAAGGAATCCTCCTGCTTCAGCCCCCGAGTAGCTGGGACTACAGGTGTGCATCGCCACTCCCAGATAAGTTTTATATTTTTTGTAGAGTTGGGTTTTCACCATGTTGCCCAGGCAAATACTGAACTCTTGACCTCAACTGATCCTCCTGCCTTGGCCTCCCAAAATGCTGGATCTATAGGCATGAGTCACCACACCCAGCCAGCCCACATATGTTCTTATCAGGTTTTAAAATTTTTTGTCGTTATGGGAATGTTTTTCCATTTATAACCTTTCTAACTGGATAGTGCTAATAAATAACTAGATCACTGATTTTTTCACATTTTATAAACATTTTATTTATAACCAATTTATATTAGTTCTTCCAGATTTTCAGTTATTCTCCAGAGTTTCTCAAGCAGAGAAACTTATATCATCTGCAAATGACAGCCTGCTTCCCCAATACTTACTGCTTTCTCATATTATAATGGCTCCACCTAGAAGTGACAGCTTCTAACGTTTGCAGGGGGGAAAAAAAAAAGCTAAGCATAAAACAAGTAAAATTACCTAAAACCAAATCAGAAAAAAAACCCTAGTTTGAACATTTTGGTATATATCCAGCCTTCTTCCTATGACTATGCCTGTGTTCACTGTTTTTCTGATAATGTGGTAACACTCTATGGGCAAAGGTATGGTTCACTTTTCCACTCACGGGCATATTTGGACCATCTTTCCCTGGTCATAAATATGCTTCTGCAACATAATTCTCAAAGGCTGAATAACAGGTATGCCGTTAATGAATTTTTTTTATCTGTAAAACAAATACAATAACAGTGCCTATAGCAAAGGGCTGTCATATTAAATAAATTAATATATGTAAAGAACTCAGACCCAGTGTAGGAATTCACTCAGGGTGGTGGAAAAAATATTAAGGGAAAATAGTAGAAGAATAGAGTCTCAAACCCTTTTGGAAGGCCTAAGGGTTTTTTCATAGTTTCAGTAGAAGTTTCAGCTGAAGGCAGCCTAAATCCCCCTGACATTTAGTTAATAAGTAAAGCAAATAGCTAGGGCATGTGAGGAAGTTTACCTAATAATCTGTTTACTCATGTGTTCTTAAAACTAACCTTGGAGCCACATGCCCTCTTGGGGGGAGGTTGACCATGGATATTATCTACTAATGGTGTTCACTTTAGGCATCAGAACCTGTCCTTTAATCTTTCTACCTCTAATGGTGTTGACTCAAGCCTTTGTCAATTAAACTTTACTAAATAAATGCAAGTCTCACTAGCTAGTAGAGGATGGCAGCTGCAACTTTTACAGGACTCTCCAAGGTGCCTATAAGCCACCTGGTCCCTCAGCCAAACTGGCAAAGCATAATATGTCAGTCAGCGTACTTTATTCATCTGTTGTTGAGTCAGGGACTGCAAGACACACTCCCCATAGGTAGTGATCCCAACAGTCATGCCCAACGTGAGGTGACCCTGACAACCCAGTAACTGGCAAACAGAAAACACTACCAGTTAGCTATTATTTCTACTAGGCTTCATTTAATCAATATTCTCAGGTGCTTTCTAAGACTTATAATTAGCAATGCTGTGATGGATGTCCAGGCTGAGGAGAGGGAGCAAATGCATGCTCTAGGCACGCGGGCAGACATTTAACCTGAGGTTATGTTTCCTGTAAGGCAATTCAGCAATATACTAAAAACCTTCAAAACATGTATGCCATTTAACCCAGAAATTCAGGTTCTAGGTATCTTACCTCTGGAAATAATCATAAAACTATAAATGGGTGCATAAAACTGAAAACTCTTTGGGTTGTTTTAAATGTAGGAATTAAGCAAACAGGAACAAGAAAAAATTAAAAAACACTTGATTCCTTCCACCTTAGAATTCAAAACACACCTCTGTGGACTTTGTGGTGGACCCCTGGTTCTATCACTAGATCCTACAAAACCGAAATACAAATTCCTACAGTGTATTTGTTTGAAGCAAATCCTACAGCAACTAAAGAAATAAGGCTTCTGTATAGTACTTTGGAAAGAAAGTCTATCTGGCTTACTCATCAATGAGATTTTTATAAAGATCAAGAAAGTACAATCTCAGACATCCTTTAGCAATTTATTTGAATTTTAGACAGATACATTTACTTAAATCAAAAGCTGATGAGCATTTAACACTGCAAATCAATTTCTACTTACTCTGAATCTGCTGTGACACTGTTTAACGCACAGTCTAACAGACCAACTCTGTTTCGAGTTCTTGGGTCCCAGCACTCCACTCTACCCTAAGCAAAGGAAAAACAATTTTAAATAAAAGCTGTAGCAGGCCAGGTGTGGCAGCTCACACATGTAATCCCAGCACTTCAGGAGGCAGAAGCGGGCTGATCACCTGAGGCCAGGAGTTCAAAACCAGCCTGGCCAACATGGCAAAACCCCATTTCTACTAAAAATAAAAAAAATTAGCCAGCTATGGTGGCACATGCCTGTAATCCCAGCTACTTGGGAGGCTGAGGCAGGAGAACTGCTTGAACCTGGGAGGCAGAGGTTGCAGTGAGCTGAGATCGCGCCACTGTACACCTGGACAATAGAATAAGACTCCGTCTCAAAACAAAAAAAAAAAGCTGTAGAATAAAAATTAAATAAATATGTATATACACACATAAAAGCTGCTACTAGGAAATTATTAAAACACATAATCCTCATTAATATTGTTTATTTCACAGAAAATAAAACTATAAGGCTGGGCGCGGTGGCTCACGAGGTCAAGAGATCGAGACCATCCTGGTCAACATGGTGAAACCCTTTCTCTACTAAAAATACCAAAAAAAATTAGCTGGGTGTGGTGGCGTGTGCCTGTAGTCCCAGCTACTCAGGAGGCTGAGGCAGGAAAATTGCTTGAACCTGGGAGGCGGAGGTTGCAGTGAGCCGAGATTGTGCCGCTGCACTCCAGCCTGGTTGCCTGGTGACAGAGTGAGACTGTGCCTCAAAAAAATAAATAAATAAAATAAAATAAAATTGTAACTGTTTACCTACTACTCTTTTTAGTACTGTTTGTTTTGACATGAGCTAAATTTCTTTTTAATTAGAAAAAGAAAAAAAAACATGTAATATAAAGGTTCAAATGCAATACACGATCCTTGATTGGACCCTGGATTAGATGGAGGGAAGGGAGAACAGTGATGAAAGGTATTTTGGTATAACTGGGAAAAATTTTATTTATTTATTTATTTATTTATTTATTTATTTTTGAGATGGAGTTTCACTGTTACCCAGACTAGAGTACAATGGCACGATCTTGGCTCACCACAACCTCTGACTTCTGGGTTCAAGCAATTCTCCTGCCTCAGCCTCCCAAGTAGCTGAGACTACAGGAGTGCACCAGCATGCCCAACTAATTTTTGTATTTTTAGTAGAGACAGGGTTTCACCTTGTTGACCAGGATGGTCTCGATCTCTTGACCTCGTGATCCACCCGCCTCAGCCTCCCAAAGTGCTGGGATTATAGGCGTGAGCCACTGCACCCGGCCTAACTGGGAAAATTTTTAAATTAAAAAATGATTGTATCAACGTTAAATCATATATATTATCGCATCAATAATAAATTTCTTTTATTATAAAATAATGATGATATATATGGAGAACGTCCTTATTTTTAAGAAATCCATTTTAAAGTATTTAGGGAAGAAATGTCATAATGTCTGCAACTTATATTCAAATGGTTCAAAAAACATTTTTAACACATGTACATTTTTATAGGAAAAGAAAATGCAAAATATATATATGCAATCACTGAACTTTTACAAAGATGTTAAAAAATAAAAGCTGGAGGAAATTTTTTTTTTTAATGGAAAAAGAATCCCAGCTGGGCGCAGTGGCTCCTGCCTATAATCCGGCACTTTGGGAGGCTGAGGCAGGCGGATCCCCTGCGGTCAGAAGTTCATGACCAGCCTGAAAAACATGGTGAAACCCGATGGGGTTTTGCAGTGTTGGTCAGGCTGGTCTTGAACTTCTGACCCAGGTGTCCACTATACCCTGCTAATTTTGCATTTTTAGTAGAGATGGAGTAATCCCAGCTACCCAGGAGGCTGAGGCAGGAGAATCCCTCAAACCCGGGAGGCAGAGGTTGCAGTGAGTTGAGATCATGCCTGCCACTGCACTCCAGCCTGTACAACAGAGAGAGACACTGTCTCAAAAAAAAAAAAAATTCCCGAAAAAACAAAACAGGCCGGGCATGCTGGCCTGTAATCCCAGCACTTTGGGAGGCCAAGGCAGATGGATCACCTGAGGTCAGGAGTTCAAGAGCAGTCTGGCCAACATGGTGAAAACCGTCTCTACTAAAATGCAAAAAAATTAGACAGGCATGGTGGCAGATGCTTGTAATTTCAGCTACTCAGGAGCCTGAGGCGAGAGAATGGCTTGAACCTGGGAGGTGAAGGTTGCAGTGAGCCAAGGCTGCACCACTGCATTCCATCTCAAAAAAAAAACCAGAACAGGCTGGGTGCAGGGTGCCTCATGCCTGTAATCCCAGCACTTTGGAAGGCTAAGGTGGGCAGATCACCTGAGGTCAGGAGTTCAAGACCAGCCTGGCCAACAGGGTGAAACCCCGTCTTTACTCAAAATACAAAAACAGCTGGGCATGGTGGCATGTGCCTATAATCCTAGCTACTCAGAAGGCTGAGGCAGGAGAATCACTTGAACCTGGGAAGATCACCGCACTCTAGCCTGGGTAACAAGAACAAAACTGGCTGGGCGCGGTGGCTCAAGCCTGTAATCCCAGCACTTTGGGAGGCCAAGGCAGGTGGATCACAAGGTCAAGAGATCGAGACCATCCTGGTCAACATGGTGAAACCCCGTCTCTACTAAAAATACAAAAAATTAGCTGGGCATGGTGGTGCGTGCCTGTAATCCCAGCTACTCAGGAGGCTGAGGCAGGAGAATTGCTTGAACCCAGGAGGCGGAGGTTGCGGTGAGCCAAGATCGTGCCATTGCACTCCAGCCTGGGTAACAAGAGCGAAACTCCGTCTCAAAAAAAAAAAACCTAGAACAAAACTGTCTCCAAAAAAAAAAAACCCACAACAGAGAAACTATAGTACATCCATTTAAACAGCCATTACAAAGAATGATGTCCACAAAAAGCAATTGATTTTTTAAAATTGGGGACTGTTGTTGTCTGTGTGTTTTTTTGAGAGAAGGTCTCACTCAGTCTCCCAGCTGGAGTGTAACAGCACAATCGCAGTGTATTCAGCCTCCACCTTGTGGATTCAATCCATCCTCTCACCTCAGCTTCCCTAGTAGCTACAACTATGGCGCGTACCACCACGCCTGTCTAATTTTTGGATTTTTGGTGAAGAAGGGGTTTCGACATGTTGCCCAAGCTAGTGTCAAACTCGTGGACTCAAGTGTTCCACCCACTCAGACTTTCAAAGTGCTGGGATGACAGACGTAAGCTACCGCACTAGGCCAACACTTGTGTTTTTAAACAAACGTTTGTGTAAACAGAAAACCATCTAAGGATACAGAGCAAATTATTAACAGTGTTTACCTAAGGAAACAGGAGCAGGACGGGGCACAAGGGAACTGCACTTCTCACTTCGTATTCTTGTCTATCACTTGATTTTGTAATGATAAAACAAAAACATATACAAAGATTTTTTTTTTTGAGACAGCGTTTCACTGTTGTTGCCTAGGCTGCAGTGCAAGGGTGCAATCTCTGTTCGCTGCAACCTCCACCTCCTGGGTTCAAGCGATTCTCCTGCTTCAGCCTCCCAAGTAGCTGGGATTACAGGCATGCGCCACCACACCTGGTATCTAGCCTAGACTACCCTGTAAGGACTCTAGAAACCATTTTCTCAGGGAAACTCTTGTAAAACTTTCCCTCAGTAATCTCAAATAAAGTGACTACCAAGAGAAAGCTTGACTGAGGCATAATAGCATTCAAACACATTCAACAGTTTCACATATCTGTTGGATCAACCTTGGGTATCCCATTTCAAATCTTAATCTTTTTTTGAAATACAGTTTTGGCTGGGCGCGGCGGCTCAAGCCTGTAATCCCAGCACTTTGGGAAGCTGAGGCGGGTGGATCACAAGGTCAAGAGATCAAGACCATCCTGTTCAACATGGTGAAACCCCGTCTCTACTAAAAATACAAAAAATTAGCTGGGTGTGGTGGCGTGTGCCTGTAATCCCAGCTACTCAGGAGGCTGAGGCAGGAGAATTGCCTGAACTCAGGAGGCAGAGGTTGCAGTGAGCCGAGATCACGCCATTGCACTCCAGCCTGGGTAACGAGCAAAACTCCTTCTCAAAAAGAAATACAATTTCAACTTCTATTTTAGCCTCTGGGGGTATGTGCAGGTTTGTTACATTGGTATACTGCATGATGCTGAGGCTTGCAGTGTGACTGATCCCGTGACATGGTAGTGAGCAGAGCAGCCAACAGTTAGTTCTCAACCCTCACCTCCCTCCTTCCCTTCCCCACGTAGTTGCCCCCAGTGTCTAGTGTTGTCATCATCACGGTCATGAGTACCCAATGGCTGGCTCCCACTACAAGTGAGAACATACAGTATTTGGTTTTCCATTCCTGTCTTAATTCACTCAGAGCAATGGCCTCCAGCTGCATCTGTGCTGCTGCAAAGGACATGATTTTGGGTTTTTTTGTGGCTGCACTAATCTCTTAACATAAAAATAATTTGAGTTAAAAAAAGTTAATTCCATCCATATGAAACTGGTTTAATAAAGTATAGTACAAACAACAGAACGCTAGCTGTAATTTTTTTTTTTTTTTGAAATGGAGTCTCACTCTGTCACCCAGGTGGGAGTACAGTGGCCGAATCGGTTTACTGCAACCTCTGCTCCCCAGGTTCAAGCGATTCTCCTGCTTCAGCCTCCTGAGTAGCTGGGACTATAGGCATGCGCAACCACACCCGGCTAAATATTTTTAGTAGAGATGGTGTTTTGCCATGTTGGCCAGGCTGGTCTCCTGATCTCAAGTGATCTGCCTGCCTTGGCCTCCCCAAGTGGGGGGATTACAGGCATGAGCCACTGCACGTGGCCTAATTTAAAAACTAATTTAAATATTTTTAAATTAGTTTAGGATTGTAAGTAATTATAAGTACCAATAAGATGTAGATTATATATTGTTATGTCTAAAAAAAGGAAATGCAGAAGTATGATAGAATACAATTTCGGTTTTGTAAAAACACTTTTAAAAATATATATGTATACATATGGATATTGGCATACAGCACTAGAAAAAATAAATCTGAAACAATACTACTCCACACCATTAAAGTGTTACCTCTTTTTTCACAATCTTGTCTAAAAGTAAAGAATAAAAAATAAAAATAAAAAAATAAAGTGTCACCTCTGAGGTGCAGGATGTGGAGACGGGAAGGTATAAAAGGGCACTTTGTAATTAAAATTACATCCTTCTGATATATTTGCTTTTTTAAAAACTTATTTATCATTGTTTTAAGTGAAAAATGCAAATTAGAAAACCTATTGGTAAGTGTGAAGGACACTGATTCAAAGATACTCTAGTTTAAAAGAAAAATGCCATGTATGTTCATCTCGATATTTACTGAATGCTACTCTACAGGATGCTGAAATCACTACCCTGTATACCTTCACAGTTCACATTGTTTTCACACAGGTTATCTGATGTGACTCTTACCCACACCTCTAGAAAGTTGGCAAGGAAAGCAGTATTATCTCCATGTTACCAGTTAAGAAACTACGCCTCAGGGAAAGAAGCTAATTCACAATCATAAAACTATCTAATCAGTGAGAGCACTGGGACTCCTTAACTTACTGTCTTCCAGTAAGAATGTGCAAGTGGCTGTCTGCAGTGCTCTCCTGCAGCTGGTTCTCAGATGGGTGTAGAGGCGTGGGTAACCTGAGGCACAAATGGTGTAGTCCCTAGCAGGGGAAGGGCCAGGCCTCTGTGTGGAAACGCAAATGCTCCATATAAAAGCTATCACCTCATTATCATCCTGCCCTAAGGAATCAAGCACCTCAGTCTTTAAGTAAAAATTCCAATCATTCTCAAATATAAAAGGTCTAAAAAATAAAGTCGATATATGCTTACCTCTATGGTTCCTGTGGCAAACAAGCCATGCACTGAATTTATGTCACAAACATTATTCTCCCTAACACAGAAAAGCAGTAAGAGAGAAAGTATTAGCTCCTACTTAAGGGGGAAGGAGTATTAAATAAACAGTCAACCCAAATTCTAGGGAGATGCTCTCTCACTAATCTGCCAATGGAAAACACCAAGGTATGAAAGGGTTAAGTGCTTGGCTCACAGTCACTGGAGTTTCTGATCCCCAGGGTGACATTCTACCTGCTAGGTGACAAACAAGTAAGGACTTCAATACTATTCCACCACCATGAGAAGAAAGGGTCATTCTATTTTTTCGAGGTATTTTCTTGCAAGGATGGTAACATTTTTAAAAGAACACAGGCCATCACCATGACAATCCTGAGCCTTGACAAGCTTGTCCTGGGTATGTCACTCTAAGCCTTATTTTCTTTCTCTGTAAAATGGCTATTTCACCTCAGGAGGTTGTTATGGAGATTAAAAGACTGCAAAGTGGTCAGCACTGTCTGGAGTATAGAGGACACTCGATGCATTGTGAAGTTACTACAATTTCCTTAAAATAAAAATAAAAGCATTTCTAGCCAATGTGAAAAAAAAAATACTGGGGTTTACTTGGTTCTTATCACAATATGTTCGCCTAACCTTAAAAAATCCTCTCAAAGCAGTTCAGCAGGCTCTTCAGAACACAGTGAGAAGTACTCCAGCCTCCACAGTTGACAGGTGTGTGGCCTTGGGCAAACTATTTACCTCTCTGAGTCTCAGCTGCCCTATCTGTAAAATGGCACTTACCAAATAATGTGTTCTAAGTTTAAAATGAGTTAATAAAAGTAAAAGGACTGAGTAACACCTGGCACAAAGTAAGTGCCTCCCACTGTGCTTAGGGCTGTTATCTGTTGTGATAAGGATCATGGATTCATTCCTAAATACTTCTGCTGCAGAATACACATGTGCAGACTAAAATGTATGATAAAAGGAAACCTTTAAAACCCTTAAATGTCTGCTAGCAAAACATAAAAATTTAAAATGGCACTCCAAGTTAATTCAAAATTTCTCCACAGGAGAAAATATCACAAAACAAAACCATGAATGCAAATTTAAAGAACACTGCAAATAATAAGCTGAGTATTTTTAATTGGCTTAAATTTGAGCATATTTTAAAAAGCTTTTTTAAAAATGTTTAAAGTAACCACCAGATCTTTCAGTGATTTTTTTTAAGAATAAATCCATCAGTACTTTCTAACTAAGCTTCGGACAGTTTTGCTTAATTGCAGTATTTTACTTTACTTGTTAATGAATTGAGCATCTGGCTCCATCTCCTGGTCAAAATGTATATAACAGTATTACGAAAACAATACTCACGCAGCATCAGTTTGTAGTGGATTCAGGTATCGTCCTTGTTCTAAGTTTAACCTATAAACTTCAGAACTGTAAAGTAATAAAGAAAGTTAAAAATCTGCTAAACTACAATAAAATTTTCTTTAAATGTATATTTTATAAATATATATCACTCCTAAGAAATCACTTCCTTTTGTAAAAGTGATACAAAGATGTATGCTAAATCTGAAAAATATTCACCTTATTTATGAATTTGTTAATGTATAAAAGTGATTTAAACCACTCATGTGCCAAGGAAATATTGTGAAGTCATTAAGTAGAATACTATTTACAAATAACATGGTGAATACAAGATCCCAAAGTACAGGTAATGTATCTACGTATGTATAGAAGAAGGGACTAGAAGGAAGCATAATAAGGATTCCCTCTGGGTTGTATAATTACGGCTGAATTTTTTGGGGTTTTTTTTGTGTGATGGAGTTTTGCTCTTGTTGCCCAGGCTGGAGTCCAACAGCACAATCTCAGCTCACAGGTGCCCGCCACCACACTGGCTCATTTTTTGTATTTTTAGTAGACATGGGGTTTCACCATTTTGGCTAGGCTGGTCTCAAACTCCTGACCTCAGGTGATCTGCCCATTTCGGCCTCCCAAAGTGCTGGATTACAGGCATTAGCCACCGCATCCGGCCTGAATTTTTTCTTTTCTACGTTTTCTCAATTTTCTAAAATGAAAATGTATTTAGATTTTTTAATGCATTATATATGTATACATAATAGCCACCAGCCAAATGCCTGGCCAAAAGCTACCTTTCTGATGACTATATATATAAAATACAGGCCAGGTACACACCTGTAATCCAAACATTTTGTGAGGCCAAAGCAAGAGGATCATTTGAGCCTGGTAGTTCGAGACCAGCCTGGGAAACATAATGAGACCTCATCTTTATAGAAAGCACAAATAGACTCTTTCCCTTTTCAGTTCACAGCTTTTAAGGCTCTGCACCGAAAATGCAAGCTCAGGAGCTGATGGTCATTGTGACCCAACCTGGACTCAGTCCCACACCCCAGAACTCCAACTGGCAGACAGGCATGTGACTGCTTCAGCGACTGTGGAGTCTGTCTCTGTGGCACACTGTGTTGTGTGCTTTGGGTGTGAAATTGCAGCTGACATGAATTAATGCTGTCTGTGTGGAACAAGCGTCGCAATGAGGACTCTATAGGACCCGATATGGCATCCCTGGATCTGTTTGTGCTGACTCTTTGGCAGCCCTTTGCTGTCCTCACTGTTCTCTTTGCCAAATCAAGAAAGAGATCAACAGAAGGACAGCCACATGCTTTCTAAAAACTGATGATGAAAAGTTCTTGTTGAAGTAACAAGTCAGCAGACACCTCTTCAGCTTGAGTCACCATCTTTTGCAACTGAAATATGATGGATACGTTTAAGTACAACTGATGGCATGAAAAAAATCAAATTTTTGATTTTTTATAAATGAACGTTGTCCCTGAGCTTATCTAAATGGTCTAGCTTAGTTTCTCCTCACTTTCCTATTATCAAATTTCCTGGCTTATAAACTTTATAAATTACACTCGAAATATAAACCAAATAAAAGATTTCACTGACAAAAAAAAGTAAAAATAAAAACAAAAAGGTACTTAGAATAAAAAGCTTTAAAATACTGTGCAATAGGGCTAAGAAACTGACTTTATCAAGTAGATTATACATGTGTATCTCCAAATTCAGCACCATACTAACAGAAGCCCAAAATGTAATATCTAAATCAGTAAGTCATGCAGGAATTAGACCCTTTAAGCAACTTAAAAGCAGAGACCATGTCTCATTCTTCTTTAAAGAAATCAGTCCTTCAAATATTGCTGTATTTTCAGGGGAAAAAAGGGTGTTTCTATTAAAATTATACTAAATTTTTGCCTATAATTTATCTCATTAAATACTGTAGACAAACTGCCAATACTAATAGCCAAATAGATAACACTAATGCTTTGTTTAAGGACAAAACAGAAAAAACAGGCCAAACACGGTGTCTCACTTCTGTAATCCCAGCACTTTGGGAGGCTGATGCAGGCGGATCACCTAAGGTCGGAAGTCTGAGAACCGTCTGACCAACATGGAGAAATCCCATCTCTACTAAAAATACAAAATTAGCCAGGCGTGGTGGCCCATGCCCGTAATCCCAGCTATTTGAGAGGCTGAGGTAGGAGAAATCACTTGAACCCAGGAGGCAGAGGTTGTGGTGAGCCAAGATTGCACTATTGCACTCCAGCCTGGGGTACAAGAGCGAAACTCCATTTCAAAACAAACAAACAGGCCAGGTGCAGTGGTTCACGCCTGTAACCCCAGCAATTTTGCAGGCCAAGGATGGTGGATCACCTGAGGTCAGAAGTTTGAGACCAGCCTGGGCAACATGGTGAAACCCCATCTCTACTAAAAATACAAAAATTAGCCAGGCATGGTGGTGGGGATATCTGTAATCCCAGCTACTTGGGAGGCTGAGGCAGGAGAATCGTTTGAACCCAGGAAGTGGAGGTTGCAGTTAGCTGACATCACGCCACTGCACTCTAGCCTGGGCGACAAAGTGAGACTCTGTCTCTAAAAATAAATAAATAAATAAGAAATTAATTACTGATATGGAACAAACAAAGTAGAGGCAGAAATCTGGAAGATAAACAGGTAAATAAAATAATATTGTATCTCATAAATTGTGACAATTGGGCTATACTGAAAAGATGCACTTCCCATCAGTATTTCCCAATGAGACAGGTAATTTCGCAGATATATATATATTTTTTAAAGAGACAGGGTTTTACCATATATTGGTTAGGCTGGTCTCAAACTCTGAACCTCAGGTGATCCGCCCGCCTCAGCCTCCCAAAGTGCTGGGATTACAGGTGTAAGCCACCATGCCCGGCCTAATCACAGATATTTTTAACATTAGAAAATATTAAATATAACATTAGAAAATATACATATAACATAGTATATGGTACTTATAAATAAATATGTAGAAAATAGAATTTTTTTTGCCTATCTTTTGTTTTCTACCTTTTTTAAGCAAGAGCCACATATCATTTTTTTTAATTAAACAAGCTATCTAAAGAGAGAAAACGTAAAGAAATTTAAGAGCAGAAGTTGGTTGTTTTAGGAGGTGAAAAGAAGGAAAGGGAACTAGATCCAATACCTTGCACCAACAAAGTACAAGTCACAGGATGGATAGTGGTAAGAGAAATCTCTCCCAAACTTCGGTATTCTGGTTTTGTAGTAAAAACCTGATTGCGAATGAAATTCAATGTATCTATCATTATGTAAGAAGACGATCTGAAAATAAAGCAAGAACATTAGTTGGCTTACATTTCTAGTTAGGTGTTTATTTCATTATCACTAAGAAACTGGCAATGAGAAAAGCTCTTGACACCTCTCTCTCACTTTCTCTTTCTAGACACACATGTCCTTGCACACTGGGACTAAGAATGAAAACTCTGCATTGGCTCCTTAATGCCTTCCTGTATGCTGAAAGCTTTTCAGCAAACCTTACCTACTAACTGAAAGACTTGGAAACGATGCCCTTCATTTACCTGGCACCAGCATGTCACGCCAGTTGGTTACCTCAATAAGCAATTTCTTCTTTCACTTGGGAAAACATTTAAATAATCCTACCATTATCACACAAGGTATGATAAACTCCTTGCATAAATCTGACTTTAGTGTACTAAAGGGTTATCTTAAACATCAGCAGGGCTGGATGTGGTGGCTCACACCTATAATCCCAGCACTTTGGGAGGCTGAGGCGGGTGGATCACCTGAGGTCGAGAGTTCGAGACCAGCTTGGCCAACACGGTGAAACCCATCTCTGCTAAAAATACAAATGTTAGCTAGGTATGGTAGCAGACGCCTGTAATCCAAGCTATTCGGGAGGCTGAGGCAAGAGAATCACTTGAACCCAGGAGGCAGAGGTTGCAGTGAACTGAAATCGTACCACTGCACTCCAGCCTGGGCGACAAGAGCAAGACTCTGTCTTAAAAACAAACAACAACAAAAACACATCAACAGGTGGTATTTAAAGGCAAATTTATCAATATTTAGAGAAAACACATTATAAAATTACACGTCCCAAAACATATGATAAATGATGACCAAAGACAAAAGGATAAACTGGACTCCCCAGTTTCCCAAACTGAATGTATGTAAAGCCCTGTCAGTAAGGAAATTCACTTCTCTTTCAAGATGCCATACGATGTCACTAAAAATTTTTCATTTTAAAATAAAAAGTTTACTGACAATTTTACAACTGTTGAAAGTGACTATAAGAGTTGAAAGACTGGCTGGGCGTGGTGGCTCACGCCTGTAATGCCCGCACTTTGGGAGGCTGAGGCAAGCGCATCACTTGAGGTCAGGAGTTTGAGGTCAGCCTGGCCAACATGGTGAAATCCTATCTCTACTAAAAACACAAAAATTAGCCAGGTGTGGAGGCGCATGCCCACAGACCCAGCTACTCGGAAGGCAGAGGCAGAGGCAGGAGAATCGCTTGAACCCAGGAAGTTGACAGTGCAGTGAGCCAAAATTGAGCCACTGCCCTCCAGCCTGGGTGACAGAGCAAGGTACGGTCTCAAAAAAGAAAAAAGAGTTGAAAGATGGACTAATGGCACCAAAAAAGGAAAGAAATCTACTCAGCTATATTTTGAACTGTTTCAGAATATACCATAACCACTTGCAAGGTTAAAAAAAAAAAAATACAACCCTCCTAGTTTACTTTTCACACATAGATACGAAAATGAAAGCAACCTGGCAAATAAATCTGGGTTAAATGTAATAATCAGAATCACAAATCTAGAATATAAGATGATATAAAAGATGACTGCTGCCAACTCTTAAAACTATAAATAAGGTCTCATATGTGATATGAAAAATTAATTTAGACATTAGATTGGCCAAAGGCTATCTGTATCATAATCATTTTAAAAGACGCTATACAGTCAGGCGTGGTGGCTCACAGCTGTAATCCCAGCACTTCCGAAGGTCGAGGCAGGAGGATCATGAAGTCAGGAGTTCAAGACCAGCCTGGCCAACATGGTGAAACCCCGTCTCTATAAAAACACACACACAAAAAGTAAGCCAGGCATGGTGGCGCAAGCCCGTAACCCCAGCTACTCGGGAGGTAGAGGCAGGAAAATCGCTTGAACCCAGGAGGTGGAGGTGGCAATGAGCCAAGACTGCACTACAGCACTCCAGCCCTGGCAAGAGAGTGAGACTCCATCTCATTTAAAAAAAAAAAAAAGATGCTATACATCTTTTAAAAATACATATTAATAGCTGAGCACAGTGGCTCACGCCTGCAATCCCAGCACTTTGGGAGGCCTAGATGGGCAGGTCACGAGGTCAGGAGTTCCAGACCAGCCTGATCAACATGGTGAAACCCCATCTCTTCAAAAAATACAAAAAAAAAATTAGCTGGGCATAGTGGCACGTGCCTGTAATCCCAGCTACTCAGGAGGCTGAGGCAGGAGAATCATTTGAACCTGAAAGACGGAGGTTGCAGTGAGCTAAGATCACACCACTGCACTCTAGCCTGGGCAACAGTGCGAGATTATCTCAAAAACAAAAAAACATATTAATGAAATGATGGGTTACTTGCCGTTTAGCGACGGAACCACACAGCCATCTCAGTTTAACAACAGAAGTATCATGAAACTGCTTATCATAAAAATAAATTCCACTCACTCATTTATTGAATTTAGTCAGTACAAACCAATGCTATAAAACATACCTTTGAGTAGTCATCAGACAAAATTTCAAAAGTGACAACTGAAAAACAAGAAATAGAAAAAATACAATTATCAATCAACATTCTAACAATGCAAACTTGATGCAAAGATTCTAATTCAACACAGAAATTATACACATACCAGTTTTTCTTTTCTGCCTCTACACAAGAAGAAAATCGCCATATTATATTGTCCCAGAATACCAACAAAAACTTGAAAGGCTCATAATTTCTCAATACACGGCAACCAGATTCGTTGTAGAACTGAAGCAAATTCACAAAATGTAATGACTTCTAAAGTCTGTCACTCTTTCTGAGATGTTGAAATCAAAATAATTTTAAAGACTTTCAAATATACATTTAAGAAAATTTTAAAAGCTATTGCTTAACAAAAAAGAAAAGTCATTTTTACCCATTCATAGTCTACCTGATAAACAAAAAGAGTGAAAAACAGCCATTATTAGTGGCACACAGAGTTCCCATTGTTTTCAGTAAACAAAGATGTAATAAGACTCTATCTCTATGGGGGAAAAAAAAGAAAAAAAATTAGCCAGGCATGGTGGTGCACACCTGTGGTCCCAGCTATCTGGGAGACTGAGATGGGAGGATTTCTTGAGCCTGGGTAGTTGAGGCTGCAGTGAGCTGTGATCACAACACTGCACTCCAGCCTGGGTGACAGAGAAAAATCCTGTTTCAAAAAAATAAAAACAAAGGGTAAAATAAGTTGGGAGACTATGCATATAATTCCACAAACACGTATCCCATTAAGTCCTTTCCCCTCAATCCCAAACACTAGGCAAACTGATAAAAGCACTTGAACTTTCCCATTTTGTTTTGTTTTGAGATGGAGTTTCGCTCTTGTTGCCCAGGCTGGAGTGCAATGGAGCAATCTCTGCTCATTGCAACCTCTGCCTCCCAGGTTCAAGTAATTCTCCTGCCTCAGCCTCCTGAGTAGCTGGAACTATAGGCATGCGCCACCATGTCCTGCTAATATTTGTGTATTTTTAGTAGAGACAGGATTTTACCATGTTGGTCAGGCTGGTCTGGAATTCCCACCTCAGGTGATCCACCCACTTCGGCCTCCCAAAGCGCTGGGATTACAGGCATGAGCCACTGTGCCTGGCTGAACTTTCCCATTTTAACTTGACTTCAGTGTCATTCAGAATTCTAAGAATGACACCCAGTGACTTTTACATTTGTATAATCCCCTTCCCTTGAGAGTGTGGGTAGAAACTGTGAATTGATAGACACTGCTCCTGTGATTACATTACATTCTATGGCAAAAGGGAGATTTATAATCATATGAGCCCTTTAAAAGCATAGTTTTCTCTGGCTGGCAGCAGAAGAGAAACAGAGATCCAAAACACAAGGGCTGGGTGCAGTGGCTCATGCCTGGAATCCCAGCACTTTGGGAAGCCAATGCAAAAGGATGGCTGAGGCCAGGGCCAGCCTGGGCAACATGGCTAGACTCCATCTCTACAAAATTATAAAATTAGTGGGTCATGGTGGCTCACATCTGTAGTAGCTTTCCACGAAAGCCAAGAAAAAGCTGATAGTCAATTCTAAAAGAACTGCAAACTAACATGTGGAAGCATCTTCTTGCCCAGCACCTCCAGGCCAGAGCTCCATCTGGTCAACACCCAGACCCCGGCTCTTAGCATAAAACCTGCACAGACTTCAGATCTACACAAACTGCGAGCTACTGAATGGATGTTCTAAGCCATCAGCATTGTAATACAGTAATCTGTTATATAACAACAGAAAACTAATTATAAACCATTCCCATTTTAAAACCAGAAGAGCAGACAAACATAAAAAGCCATTTTCATGAATTTAAATTTAGCTTCTTGCTCACCTTCTGAATCTAAACACCTTTCAAACTTCAAGGATAATTGATAGGTGTCATAACATCGAACCCGAGGTTTATATGTTCCTACAAAAAATTAATGTGATGTAAAACCTAGAGACATACTTTTCATAGTCAACATCCACAGACACAATGAGCGTACTTCTTACTCAGCAATAGGCAGGATTAAATGCAACCACATCAAAAGAAAAAGCAGCCCCTCTCAAACACCCCGAGGAAAAAATGAGCAAAAGCTATTAAGCAAGTCATAGAACACAAAACACAATAACTAATAGACTTCACAAGCAACCTAACAAAATAGATGAAAACAATAAAGCTGTTTCACCCACCATAACGGCAAAGGTAAAAAAGACGGTTAATACCTGCGTTGGTGAAAGTATAAAATATTCCCATATACTGTTGTTGATCAGTATAAAATTGACACAACTTTTTTGAAGGACAATCCCTAAAATACATGACGTTTCTATACCTTCAATCTATAGTTCAGCTTATACAAATTGAACTCACAGAAAAATATCCACAAGCCTGCCAAAGACGTTCACTGCAGCATTATTTATAAATGGTCAGCGAATAAAAATCCACTAACAGGAAAACCCTTAAATAAATGACATTAGATCCACACAAAGGACGATTACATGGCCCATAGAGTGGATGAGGCAGACCTGTAAGCGCTGACATGGAAAGCTGCCAGAACGTACTATAAAGTGAAAGTACAGTCAGGCAACAGGCCCATATAATATGATCCTAATTTTCTATAACTGATACAACTCTGTACAATGCAATAGTAACTTTGGCACTTTATCTTTTTTTTTTTTTTTTGAGAGAGAGGCTTGCTCTGTCAAGCAGGCTAGAGCGGAGTGTTATGATCTCAACTCTCTGCAACCACTGCCTCCTGGGTTCAAGCGATTCTCCTGCTTCACCCTCTCAAGTAGCTGGGATTACAGGTGTACACCACCACGCCCCAGTAATTTTTGTATTTTTAGTAGAGACAAGGTTTCACCATGTTGGTCATGCTGGTCTTGAACTCCTGACCTCAGGTGATCAACCCACCATGGCCTCCTAAAGTGCTGGGATTACAGGCATGAGCCACCACACCAGGCCCACATATTATTTATGAAATATTTTTTAAGATAAAATAAAACCAAGGAGTTCTAAATAAGAAGAAAAGCCATTAGGCTGGGCCCCAGCACTTTGGGAGGGCAAGGCAGGCAGATCACTTGAGGCAATGAGTTCGAGACCAGCCTAGCCAACATGGTGATACCCTGTCTCTACTAAAAAAATTACAAAAATTAGCCGGGTGTGGTGGTGCACACTGGTAGTCCCTGCTACTCAGAAGACTGACTCGAGAATCACTTGAGCCTGGGAAGCGGAGGCTGCAGTCAGCCGACATCATGCCACTGCACTCCAGCCTGGGTGACAGAGTGAGAATGTTTCAAAAAGAAAAAAGCCATTAATTTTGAATGGGAATAGAGGACAATTTCATAAAAGAAAGAGTGATTTAACAAATCTGTATCCTAGCTTTCTTAAATACTAGATCTGGGAGCCTAGACAAGTCACTTAGTATCTCTGGATCTATAATATGAAGAAAATGAATTCAATCTTTAAGTTTCTTCTAGTCTCCAATAAGGATGTCCATATAGCTTAGATTTCCTCAATTCTTTTTACCAGTTTTTGAACATAAAACTGAAGGCTAAGAGAGGTAGACAGTGTTAGTTAGTACGGTGATAATCATTAACACAAAGCAAAAGAGACTGGCCTGTATATGTATAAAAGGTGTTACCAAAAAGCAGGTGGTTGGAAAACGAATCCTGTTACCATAACATCAGTAAAAAATGTTTGAACTGAGTATAGGACATACGCACCAAAATCACAACCACTAAAGGTTGCCATACTGTTCAACATTCCAACACATTAAAAGTTCTCTAAACTGGCCAGGTGCAGTGCCTCACACCTGTAATCCTGGCACTTTGGGAGGCCAACGCAGGTGGATTGCCTGAGCTCAGGAGTTGGAGACCAGCTTGGTCAAGATGGTGAAAGCCCGTCTCTACTAAAATACAAAAAATCAGTCAGGCGTGGTGGCCTGTGCCTACTGCAGTCCCAGCTACTCAAGAGGCTGAGGCAGGAGAATTGCTTGAACCCAGAAGGCAGAGGCTGCAGTGAGCCAAGCACGCTACTGTACTCCGGCCTTGGCCACAGAGCAACACTCCATCTCCAAATAAAAAGTTTATCTAAATTTCATTATTTTTTGATAATGACAAATACTGTTAATGTAAAATCTTAGGGACATTTTAAAAAATTGGTATGTGATACAAAAAATCATGTTATAAGTGACCTTTGCTAAAGCTCTCATTCATTGTTATTGGGAATACAAATGATATGACCACTTTGGGAAAAGACCTGAAAGTTTCCCATAACACTACACCTATACCTACCCCAGGACCCAAAAATTCCACTCCTAGGTATTTACCTAAGACATGAAAGCATATATCCACTAAACAGACTTTTTTTTGAGACAGAGTTTCACTCTTGTTACCCAGGCTGGAGTGCAATGGCACGATCTCGGCTCACTGCAACCTCCACCTCCTGGGTTCAGGCAATTCTCCTGCCTCAGCCTCCTGAGTAGCTGGGATTACAGGCACACACCACCGTGCCCAGCTAATTTTTTGTATTTTTAGTAGAGACGGGGTTTCACCATGTTGACCAGGATGGTCTCCATCTCTTGACCTCATGATCCACCCGCCTCGGCCTCCCAAAGTGCTGGGATTACAGGCGTGAGCCACCGCACCCGGCCTAAACAGACTTCTCTGAGATTGTTCATAGCACTTTATTAGTAATAGCCCAAAAAATGAAGGAAAATAGCCCAGGTGTTCATCACATGGAGAATGGCTAAATAAACTGGTTTAGTCATATAACGAAATATTATTTGGTAATTTTAAAAAAAGCTATTGACACATACAACAACATGTATGAATCTTGGCAGGGCGCAGTGACTCATGCCTGTAATCCTAGCACTTTGGGAGGCCGAGGTGGGTGTATCACCTGACATCGGGAGTTCAAGACCAGCCTGGCCATCATGGTGAAACCCCATCTTTAAAAAAAAAAAGAACATGTATGAATCTCAAACACATGAAATAAGTCTTACAGAGAACGAATGTACTACAGGCTAAACTTATGTGTACTGAAAAAAATCAGCAATGGTGGTCTGTGCATGGGTGGGAGCAATTTTCTACAGGGAAAAAGTCTTGAGAGAGCTTTGGGTTACACAGGTGTGTGCATTTGTCAAACTATGCATTTCACCAATATACAGTTTTTTTTACCTTGTAAACAGCTATAAATAAATACTGATAAATGTTGAATTCCAGCTAACGATATATATGCTGAGGTGTTTTGTGGTGAAATATACTGGTATCTGCAACTTACACTGAAATACATAAAAGAAACAAGGTGGACTGATGTATGAACAAAGAGACAGATGCATGGGAGAAGTCAAATACTGCAGAGTAAACTATTTATTGCAGAATTTAGGTAGTAGTTAAATGGGTGTTGACAATTTTTTCAATATTTCTGTTTGAAATTTTTTATAATAAAATATTAGGGTAAAAAACAAACAAAATCTTTCCTATCACAGCATTTCCTGGTAAAGAGTGCATGGAAATCATAACCAAAAAGACGCTTACCAGTTGCTAAAATGTACTGTCCATCTTTTGACACCTTAATAGTGGTACATACAGTGGGCATTTCAAAATCCTGAATAAGTTCAATTCTCCTACGGACATCTAAAAAGAGAAAAAAACAACTAGTTTAACGAAATGTGCTTATTCTTTGTCATAAGAAGACAACATGTGCCGAGCAGTCAGCACAGCTATAAACAGGTAAAATTCATCCCAAATGCTTCCTGGCCTTGGGAAAGGACACTAGCACAAGCCCAACCATTAAACAGCAAAGGATTTTCTCTTAGTTTATACACTGTTTTTCTAAGCTAAGTATTTCATTTGTACTTTTCCAAAAAAAAAAGTATCATCGTTAATTGAAAAAAATTTTTCACAACAGTGTATCAAACATCCAGTGTTAAATATACATAAAAAGTAGGAAGAGCATAAACATTAAGCCACTTTTTTTTTTTGAGACAGGGTCTCACTCTGTCGCCCAGGCTGGAGTGCAGTGGCACGATTATGGCTCACTGCAGCCTCAACCTCCCAGGTTTAAGTAATTCTCACACCTCAGCTCCCCAGAGAGGTAGGACTACAGGCGCATGCCACCGCACCCAGATATTTTTATACTTTTTGTAGAGATGGGGTTTTGCCACATTGCCCGGGGTGGTCTCAGACTTCTGGGTTCAAGCAATCCTCCCACTTCAGCCTCCCAAAGTTCTGGGATTACAGGAGTGAGCCACCGAACCAGGCCCCTAAACCACTATAACAACTCAATCATGGCAAAGACATGAAACAGTAACAGGCTAACTTATTAGTCAATAAGGGAAAATCAAATCCCATACCCACCAGGAACATATCGACCACAACAAAGTTTCTTAAGAAGGAGATGGGCTGGGTGCAGTGGCTCACGCCTGTAATCCCAAAACTTTGGGAGGCCAAGGTTGGAGGATTGCTCAAGCCCAGGAGTTAGAGACCAGCTCGGGCAACACAGCGAGACCCCATGTCAAAGGGAAAAAGAAAAGAACCAAGAGCATTCATTTCCCACTGTGTGTTACTACATTCTTACAAATCCTCATTTACATATGATAACAGCATATGCAATGAGTAAAATATGTAATGAGTACAATAAGATAATGAGTAAAAGCATGAGAACACGGATCACTAATGCAGCTGAAGTGAGAGAAAACAATACTCACCTACATCTTTCTTCTGTAGTGCTCTCTTCTTCCTATCAGAAAGCCACTGAAAGAAAATGAAGAGACTTTATTTTAAAACAAATTTAGCTAAATTATTTTCCAGCTTGCAAAAATAATACATGCTTATATTTTAAAATTCAAACCTTCCAGGGATATATAACATAGGAAATAAAAAAATTCTCTAATCCAAACCCTACTCTTATACTAAATATCTCCTGGATTGTTTTTCTTGTGTATACTTACACACATTAGACACTTTTTTTTTAATTTTTACTTTTTTAGAGACAGGGTCTCATTCTTGCCCAGTCTAGAGTGCAGTGATACGATGCAACCAGCTCATTGCAGCCTCAAACTCCTGGGCTCAAACCATCCTCTCTCCTTTGCCTCCCAAAGTGCTAGGTCCACTGAAATGGGCCATGAGGTCCAGCCAGATAATAAATTTTTTAAACTACCATCTTTTACACAAGAGAAAATCAAGGCATCTAACCAATCTAAAGGAAAGCAGAAAGCCTCAAGTATTCTGGGTTATAATTAAATATATGAAACAATTTAATCTATTTAAGTGAAAATTTATAAAGTAAAACATAGGAGAATGTTTCCTATAGAAATATATTTTTTACAAAGAATAAAACCAGATAAAAAACTGACCAAATAGCCGATACTTAATTACAAAAAAATGATACACTTTATAGCCATATTCTTCTGATACCAGGTTTTGCTCTGGAGTTAATGAGCCCAGTTCAGCCAGCAGTATAATTCCACGGCATGCTCAGGTGCCAGTGGCGAAGCACTCGTCAGCTACGATTATCCTAAAGCAGTGGTTCTCAAGCTGGGGCAATTATTAATTGCTGAAGACATCTCTGGTTGTCACAACTTGGGGATATGCTCCTGGTATCTGGTGGGCAGAGGTGAGAGATGATGCCAAACACGCTACGATACATAAGACAACCCCCACAACAAGGAGCTGTCCAGACCAAAATGGCTATAAAGGCAAGGCTTAAAAACTCTATCCTAAAGAAAGAAAAGCAAGAGAAAAACTAAGAGATGTCCTTTCTAAACTGTACAGCCCTTCTCAGACACATGACATAATAATCTTTAGGACTCTGGTCATGCAGACTCACCATGGAAGACCCTAAGTATGACACCTGAGGCAGCGTCCACACTTGCAGAGGGACACTACCTTGATGAGCCTCAGTCTGAGCCACAGCTTCCTTCTGCCTTTGTATGTAGCATACTGATTTACAGGTTTATGCTACTCCTTGTGATTATTTGCTCTGATTTGAGTTTTGGCAGTAAGGTATCAATTAAAAGTGACATTAAGTTTATTTCTGGGCACTCAATGTAATTTTACATTAACTTTATACAAACAGAACAAAGACATATTGCTAGGGATTCCCCCTATTAACCAGGATTCAATTTCCTCTTCTCAGGAAGCTGTGCTCAAGGAAGCAGGCAGTTCATACAATAACTAGTCTCATATATCCTGTGCAAACAAGCATGGGGGAAAAAAGACAGAGATTTCCTTCTAACTAGGAGCCTAAGACCCAAAGGGGCAAGAAATTCTCAACACAGTGAAGGTAGGAAGGAAGGAAAGTTCATTCAGCAGTGTCTGTACAAACTCACAGCACTACAGGAGACCACATGAGGAGTCAGCATGAAACAGGAACATATAAACCTAAGTTTTTAAAAATGTCTTTTTAAAGTTCACCAAGAACTGAAAGTTGTTCACTAAATTCAGCCCTCTTCTCTGTATTCTATAAAATCAAATAAAGAGCCGTACTTAGCCAGGTGCAGTGGCTCACACCTGTAATCCAAGCAATTTGGGAGGACGAGGCAGGTGTTCAAGACCAGCCTGGTCAACAAGGTAAAACACCATCTCTACTAAAAATACAAAAAATTAGATGGGCATGGTGGCATGGACCTATAATCCCAGCTATCTGGGAGGCTGAGGCAGGAGAATTGCTTGAACCTGGGAGGCAGAGGTTGCAGTGAGCCAAGATCACACCATTGCACTCCAACCTGGGCAACAGGGCAAGACTCCATCTCGGAGTGGGGTGGTGGGGGTTAGGAGGGAAGAACTGTACTCAAGCAGGCTGAGGTGGCTTATGCCTGCAATCCCAACACTTTGATAGGCCAAGACAAGAGGATCACTTGAGCACAGAAGTTTGATACCATCCTGGGCAACATAGCAAGACACCATCTCTACAAAAAAATAAAAATTAGCTGGGTGTGGTGGCACATGCCTGCAGTCCCAGCTACCCAAAAGGCTAAGAAAGCAGACTCACTTGAGTCTGGGAGGTCAAGGCTGCAGTGAGCTGTGATTGTGCCACTGCACTCCAGCCTGGGTGACAGAGCAAGAACCTGTCTCAAAAAAAAAAAAAAAAAAAAAAAAATACTGTACTCATCCGATATAAAAGAAGTTCATCAAAAACCCAGCAAAAGAGCTGTGGAAATGCAGATGACTTCATTCTCTCACTGAACAGTGTCTCATTGCTGCTGGGTGAAAAAAAGACCCCATTTGCTCTCACATTTGAAGTAAGGCAAAGCAAAACATGCAATCTGTTGGTAACTTAGAAATGCTTTAAAGGAAGATTGAGCGAAAGAGAATAGCAGTTCTCAAACTTTTTGTTCTCAGTATTCCCTCACACTCTTTATGGAGGACCCCAAAGAGCTTTTGTTTATGTGGGTTATAGCTATTAATATTTAATGTATGACACATAAAAACTGAGATATTATTTAAATATGTACTTATTCAGTTAAAAACCGCCCCATTACATGTTAATCAAAATAACACTTTTATGAAAAATAGCTATATTCTTAAATCTCTTTAATAGCAAATACCTGTAGATTCTTGTGTCTGCTTCTGAAACCAACCTACTTTTATTTTAGTTGAAGAATATGAAGAAAATAAGGCCTCAGGTTTGGGCTGGGTGTGGGAGAAAAAAATATATTAAAAAAAAAAGAAAAGAAAAGAAGGCCTCACACAGACATCCAGTTAGAAAAGGAAGAGAGCAAAGATAGTCCTCTCAGGTAAGTGTGGCTATTCTTCTTTGGTACTATGCCAAAACTCAGCAAGTGTAGTTTCTTCAACGTTAGTTGTAACGTGGAATGTAAAAGCCCTATCCACCATTTTTTGTTTGTTTGTTTTTTTGAGAAGGAGTTTTGTTCTTGTTGCCCTGGCTAGAGTGCAATGACGCGATCTCAGCTCACCAAAACCTCTACCTCACAGGTTCAAGAGATTCTCCTGCCTCAGTCTCCCAAGTAGCTGAGATTACAGGCATGCGCCACCAAGCCTGGCTAATTCTGCATTTTTAGCAGAGACAGGGTTTCTTCATGTTGGTCAGGCTGGTCTCGAACTCCCAACCTCAGGTGATCCACCTGCCTTGGCCTCCCAAAGTGCTGGGATTATAGGCGTGAGCCACTGCACCCAGCCTCTCAACAAATTTTTGGTACTCTAGTATGCTAAAACTCCTTGGTGTATCTTTGCTTTCTGGGTCTTTGACCCTGCACGACTTTAGAACATCAGACACTGGTCAATTTGGAAAGTATTCATTCACTGGTTACACAGAAGCAATCCATTGTTGACATATTTCATTAACTAGCATCAAAAATTCATATTTATTAACATCACCACCAATCTCATCGGAAAAGTTTGAAAGTTCTGGAAAGCTATCAAGCTCATGGTGGTGGAGAAAGGTTTTCTAAGATTCTACCTTTCACATTAAAGCCAAGAAAATGCCTGCCAAATACCTGAGTCTGAATAACAACCGTTTATCCCTAAGCCATATTTTCAAGTAAAAATGTTGTTTCATGTAAAAACAGCTACTTCAGCTCACAACTGAAACAATGCACAAGTGCTTTTCCTCAAGACAAGCCCTGTACGCACTGCGGATACAGAACTGCTCACACACTGCCCACCTCCTCACACAGAATCCAAAAACAAGTTTCAAGAAATAATTTTTTAGGCCAGGTGCAGTGGCTCACGCCTATAATCCCAGCACTTTGGGAGGCTGAGGCAGGTGAATCACCTGAAGTCAGGAGTTTGAGACTAGCCTAGCCAACATGGTTAAACTCTGTCTCTACTAAAAATACAAAAAAATAGCTGGGCACGGTGGCACATGCCTGTAATCTCAGCTATTCGGGAGGCTGAGTCAGGAGAATCGATTGAATCCAGGAGGAGGAGGTTGCAGTGAGCCAAGATTGTACCACAACACTCCAGCCTGGGCAACAACAGTGAAACTCAGCCCCCCCCACCCCCCCAAAAAAACCATATTTTTTAAAGCTTCTCAAAGGCATTCTTAAGTAAAACTAGCAGTTTTGGCTTTGATTACAGTGCATGGTGGAGAAGAATATAGTGACAACTAACAGTCTGGTGTCACTGCTTCAGCAGTTACAAAGGTACCAGCAGTTTTATCCATGACTTTTGCACCATCAGAACAAATGCCAACAAAGTGAGAAAGGTCAATTAACAGCATGATTGTGCAAACAGTCTGAGCTGGTGGACCCTCTGGAAAAGTCTTGGGGATCTTCAGGGCCTCAGAGTCTGCTTTGAGAACCACTGTATTAATGAGTAAGAGTGAAGCAAAGGTCAAGGTTAAGTCTGTATAAGAGAGGAAAAAAACAGGCTTACTCACTGGAAAACTGACAAAAATAAATTTAACAGCATTAAAAATACACCGGGCACGGTGGCTCACGCCTGTAATCCTAGCACTTTGGGAGGCCGAGGTGGGTGGATCACCTGAGGTAGTTCAAGACCAGCCTGGCCATCATGGTGAAACCCCATCTTTATTTAAAAAATAATAAAAATAAAAATACTATAAAAGCTGATTAACTCGAGAATGGGCGATTTTAGGCCAAAATGTGTAAATAAAAATCATAGCCCCAGGTCAAAAGTGTGATGTGGCTGAAAATGAAAAATTAACTTTATTCATTAATAGATTAAACAAATATTGATTTATACAACTAAATGCCAGTAGATGGGCATAGCAATAGTAAATAAAACAGGAAAAAAGAAAACAACCCTCTTGGCCGGGTACAGTGGTTCAT